GTGGGGGGGGGGGGGGGGGAGGCAGTGGAGATGGGGGACACAATGATTAGTATGAGGTGCAAATTATTGATAGGGCTTATAAGCCCCAATATCCTAGTGATGTGAATTGTCATTTACTTTGCGTGCCATGCAAGTTGATATATTGATTTATGTATGGTTTCACTTTGTTAGCTATAGTTGCTATGGAGACCAGGTGTTCGTCTTGATGAGGATGGAGTAGTTTAGCCCATATATATAGTTGGATAACCAGGTAAGATTGGACTTTTCTCATTTTGATACATAAATTGTTTATTTGACCAGTAAAATGCTGTATACGTAATTCACACTGCATTTTAACAAGGAGCTATAACCATGTGTAATATTGCATTATTGTAGATATGTTTTTGTCCTTACCCAGTCGGCAAGTAGCTGTAAAGCTAATGTTTCCTTTCAATTTATACCCGACATGAAATAAAATTTATTGTATTGTATTGTATTGTATTGTATTGTATTGTATTGTATTGTATTGTATTGTATTGTATTGTATGACAATGTATTAAAGTTTTTAGTCTTTCTCATCTCATCCCATCCTGCTGACATAAAACCAAAACTAGAACTTGTATAACCATTCAGATTTCACTAGTGTAGTAGCAAGTCTGTAAATAAACCACTCATCATTTCTAGTTTGATATTCTGAATATGAATGATAGCTGTTAAACATTTGTAAACACAAGCAAGGAGGCTAACGTGTAATATAATCTGGCTACATTATTATGTCTCATTGTGCTCAGTCTATAAATCAATTTATAAAAGAAAACTGGCAGGCTAAAAAAACTGAAGACAACAGTAAATTGATAAGCAACCTGTATAGTCTCCCCACCTTTGGATAATCACATTAACCCAAGCACATGGAGCCAGACCGTTTTCAGTAAATCATTGTCTTACATGTGTCTGATATTAAATACCAAGTATTACCTTAGAGCACATGGTGTTCTGGGGTGTCCTGTACAACCCCAAGCTGACCATTTGAATATTAGACAAGCTTAGTATGTCCTGTAACAGGTGGTGGGACGAACCACCCTGAGTTTCTCACTTACTTCCTCATGGCATGCATGGCATTAGAACAGACACAGTCCTTTGAAACCTGGGTGTTTGTGGAAGACTGGACAGTCTTGAAGAAGGAGCCTGTTCAAGAAGAACTATATGTAGTAGAAATTAAGCAGTGTATATTGCCTGTGATTACCCACTGACCATGACATGGTTCTCTATATGTGTTAACACTGATGATAGAAGTTCATGTTGATTGCCTCATCTAGTGCTGTGGACTGTTCAAGGAGTATACATGTAACAGTTTTTTAATTGGATGGAACCTGCATTTAATGACAGCAGGTTTAACTTGAAATGTACCTTTAGATGGCGTACATGTATATAGTCAATGTAGCCTCTATGTTAATTGGTTATGAAAACTGATTGCATTCAAGTTTATCCATTTAAAAGGCTACTGTGTGGTTATTAACAGAATACAGGCAATCAAATGTGAATTTGTCATTAGTACATAAAAGTATTTTTGTTTTACATTCTTGCTTTTATCTATTGAGAATAAGAGTTAGGTAAGAATGGAAATCAAATTAAGATGACTTCATGCAAGTCTCTGGTGGTGAAATATTTATCCCTGCATGTGTGTGCATACCTCGTAATCAGCACTACAACAAGTGTTTACCAGACAGCCTTGAGATGGTTTAACAACCATTTTGCTGCGGAGGGTAAATATGTCAGAGGGTTTTCACCACGCCTAGTGAGTACACTAGTACACATTATCAGTCACATGTTACAACCATCAAGACTATGGAATATTCAAAGTATTAAAATAAGGTTTTCATGTTAATTATAGACCAGCAATCTTACCTCGGGTCATTTGAGTGACCAGCAAGCAATGGGTGGCAATTTGCACAGTGTAAGTATTTTGTTAATTGATAAACCAACAGTATTTAAGGGTTTGCAGACAGCAGATATTTCAAGTCTTAAATATAAAAGATTGTGAACCAATTATTTAGACTATTACAAAATGTCTATAGGTAAAAATATAGAAAGATGTACTTTGGATACTGGTCTCCCAAGAAACCCACTTGATTTTTATCTTGTCTTTGCACAATATTGTATTTGGTACCTTTAAACTTTTCTCACCGAGAAAGGAAAGTAAATATTGATTTTTGCTACTTTTTATAATGTGTATATGAGTGGCAGTTATTACCAGTCCAAAGTACAAGTGTCCCAGTTGCACTGTTAGATGGGTGTGGTTCCAGATATGTTGTATACCTGTCACAGGTGTGACATAGTTATTAGTGTAACAGCAGTTTCTTAATATATAGGTACATATATAGATTATTTGTGAATTCTGGACCTTACCTTTGTCAGAACTTACTTGTTTTTTTTTTCTTGATTAAGATATGTTTTCTTTAAACTGAAATTATAATTTCTCCCAAGATTTGAGAAAATAAGGTTCACATTAGTCTATACACAGTTTTTGTTGTTTTTAGCAGAATATTTTTTTTCAGTAATTGATCATAATATCAAATTACTTATTGGACAAAATAAGCTAGCATTATCCAATCGATATTATTTTGTATTTTATTAAGTTTACTCACTCTCCATTATCAATGATCCTAGGTCATTGTCTGAGCCACACCCAATACTTACTTTGTACTGAGAGATAATATCTGTATGTGCTTATTAAGTTAAATAAGTGCATGCAGTGCAACTAAAAGTATTTTTATGTACAGATACGTGTGTCACCTGCTTATGTAGCCGTCAATATTTTCCTGTAACTTATTGGACCAAATCATAATAGTGAAGTGCAGGCCAATTTCAAATATATCAGCTTTATTAAAAAAAAATTTTTTGCATGTTCATATATATATATATATTTTTTTTCCCCAAACATGGAATCCTTCTCAATACATTTGATGTAAAAGTTGAGTTAATTTTTTTTTCAAACTTAGTGAAGTGATTCATAGCAGTAAACAATATATTAAGTATATTGTCTTAATTATCTCAAGAACCAGCATTAATATATGTGGTTGTGTATGTCATTCTCCTAAGCATTTATTTTATGCAGTATGAAGTATGTCCTCATATTCACTGGATATTTGCCAATATTTTACCTGATAACTTTTAAGTCAAGTATTATGTGGATGTGTTTGGAATGTCCTTTGTTTACCTGTGTACCTCCTCAAGGCAAACTAGGCACAGGTACAAAGTACTTGACATGTTATTTTGTTAGTTACTGTCTATCGTGAACTTTTCCTTACTGATAATGTGAGGACAGATGGCCCTTGATAGAATAAATCACCCTTCTCTCTCTCTGTCTCTCTCTCTCCTTCTCTATGTGTATGTGTGTGATTATTTCTCTGCAATGTGCATGTTTTATATTATTACCTGTATATTCTTATCAGATTCAAATCAATTAATGAAAGTACCATGTGTTACAAAGTGCTTGTTTACACTCTATCCATCTTTGGTTAAAAAAACTGGACACAGAATGGATTTACACTGCTAAAAGGGAAATGAGGTTAAAGTTGCATTCAGGTGATGTTTATGAGGGTTAGGAATTGACATAATGAAAAAAAGGGCTGTCATGTTTTGAGGCTCCCCCATAGTAGTTGTGGTCATAATTTGGACAGAAACTTGTGAAATATTTTATTTAATGCAAATCAGAGTCAGGTTTGGAAGACGGGCAACTCTGATGAAGGTAAGAGACATGGGAACTATAAGTAGTTTCATTCAAAGAAGTTATATTTTCATGAAAAAATTGAAAAAGGAATTTTAGTGTGCAGCTGAGCATTGAGTAGCTTGGTGAACATTGTGTTGTAAACTGAGTGTTTTAAGTTCATACACTAGGTTCACTTATTTCAAAACGGTTAAGTTAAGATTAAATATTTGCTTTATGAAATGGATATCTGATATAGTCTCAGTGAGAGGTGTACATATTTTCAGTATCATATGGCATTTCACAGGCTCCAGTATTCAGGTAGTGGTTGTTGTTTGGGAATATGGTAACTGTGGTATTGGTATGGATAAAACCGATGCTAATTAATGTTGTGTTTTCTTGTTTTCAGAATCATGAGGGGATGTCCTGTCTGTACCTTTGTATACATAGCTAAAGCTCTTGACTGGAAGACATAAGGCTGAAGCATCAGTGGCAACCAAATAATGTACTCTCAATACAGTTCAGTTATTAAATTCCTGGAGCTTCCTTCTCCAGATGATTACCTGGAAATACAGGAGAAGATTGGTAATGGTACATATGGGGATGTGTATTCTGCCATTGATAAGGAGACAGGTATTTCATACTTTTTTCTGGATCAGTAGTGTTTGTTAATTTTTTATTTATTCCTCTACAAAAAGAATGCAGTAAGTGTGAGGATGGGTGTGAGCACGTACAGGTGTCTTAATTGGCCCAAGTTTACTTTACTAGATAAAATATTCATAGATAACTGGATGGCTGGTTTTGAAGGAATGCTGGGGAAATATTTTAATTGACATGGTAATTACATCCCTTTACAACGCCTTCTTTTGTGATTGATATTGATTGCAAAAGAATTGCACAGAAACCAAGAATTCAGGTTTGTTATATATGTGGTTAGATGTTTTAATACAGACCTTGATAACATCTTGACTAACTTTCTGCCAAATTAAAATGTTATGAATGTCAAGAAATTAAGTAATTAATTGATTGATTCATTTGTTTTATAAATAAATAAATTAAATGATTGTACACAATGCATTCTAGTTTTAAAGTGAAAATATGATAAATGTTTTTGTTTTATTTTTTTCAAGGTGAAAAGGTGGCAGTGAAAATTTTGGAATGCATCCACGAAATAATAGAAGAGGTAGAAGAAGAATACCTTATTTTAAGGGATTTTGGTGGATGCTGTAATATTCCAAAATTCTGTGGCCTGTACTTGAAACGCCATGGCACAAACCCAGAGGAAGATCAGTTGTGGATGGCGATGGAGGTCAGTGATGGGGCTGATAGAATGTTATGATGTTCATTTTTTTCTCACATTTTGTTTTAAATATTTCATTTGTTGCAGCCTGCAGGAATTTGGGAGTTTGATATGTTTTAGATTTTCCTACATGAAAACAATGAAGTCTTGACTGAATTAAGGCAAGAAACTTAATTGTTCAGTAATGGTGGTTGCAAGCATTGTTCTTGAGTCATTACATGTTCTTTGATAACCAAACTAACATTACCAAATGATTATACTCTGGTGTCTTTACTGTAGTTAGTAAATGGGAAATTCTTGCACTAATTTGACCCCATCTTAAAATGGAACTTGAAATTGCTGTCAATGAAGATGGAGAATAACATGTGAGAAAATGCGGTGTCAGACAAGTGGTCCAGGCAGTGCCACTCTAACCCCAAATTCTTTAGAAAAGGAGGTGATATAGGTGTCCATAGCAAACAAAGAAAACTTAGCTAATAAGTTGTCTTGTATTTTTAAAAGGTGTGTTTTTGAGATTAATACATGTACTTGTACATGTAATGGTGGTTGCATGACGTTATAATGATAAAAATCCATTTATAATTTTTTTCAGGTGTAAGATTAATTGACTAACTTTCTACATAATCTGTAATGTTGCAAATTATATTTTTTGAAAAAATAGATAATATATAGATTAAGTGCTTCTGGACATACAATTTTGAGATTCAAAACTTACAATTACTTCATGAATGCAATGCATTAATTGTTTCCCAATTCAAATGGTACATCAGCTATCTGTACAACATGCATATGACAATTCTTGTCCTTTGTACTTTCAGAAGTTTGTTATCCTTTTAGTTAATTTGAAGTTTGATATAGATTTTTAATTAAATTTGAGACCTTGTAATTTATTGGGTATCGGGTTTCATTTGAATAAAAAAATTGTTATGATTTATGTGCTTTAATCCCCATTACCCACGTTAGATGATAATGTACCACTTTGCTCAAACGTTGCCAAGGTTATAATATTCAAGGTCTTTACAAGAAAGCCTTAATTGTTTCTTATCTTGGATTGTCAAATGATAGTGATTGTGACCAATAATATTGTAAAATAATCAAGGTCTTTTACGTGTTTTCTGTAAAATGACCTTGATTATTTTATTTGCCTAAATTTCTGAATCAAGAATTTGTGAAAAAATATACAACTGTTAACAGAGATTTTGTAGATGATGTAAACACTTTTTCATCTATATTTGAAAACATTTTCTTGTATTAGATAATTATTCTTTATTGTCTCTTTTGTAATTTAGTTGTGCAGTGGTGGCGCCATATCAGACATAGTCAAGCATCTACTGCGACATGGCCACCACCTGAGTGAAGACCTGATTGGTCATATTCTGAAGCAGACGATGATTGCAATCAACTATCTCCATGACAACCACATCATCCATAGAGATATCAAGGGATACAACATTTTGCTAACAGAAGATGCTGACATTAAATTGGTAGACTTTGGTAAGTTTGATATCAATTATATGAATAACATGATGATTAGCCTATATAGTTATTTGACAATTCCCAGTGCATCCCTGTGGAACACCCCAATGGACATCATTTCAAAATACCCCAGGAGAGTGTCATTCTGTGCCTATGCTTTGTATCAGTGTAAATACATGTATCTGAGATTTCCTTATTATCAAAACACACCGATTCTAGTACTGAGTATGCATATCTTAATTAATTAAGATATATGTACTTTTATATATATATACTTTTTTATAATGAATTTTTTAACAATTATTTTTGATTCAGGTGTAAGTGGTCATCTGAGCAGTCCTCTCGCCAAAAGAAAGACATCAGTGGGAACACCATTCTGGATGGCACCAGAGGTAGGATTAAAGCCCAGTTAAAACTGTGCCAACTTGAACTTACAATAATATGATTTTACCAGGTGATCATACTGGCAAACAGCACATGGGGATCACTTTTTGAGCTGGTGACATCATTTTTACCAGTTTCAATTTAAGTTAATAGTGTTAAGTAGCTGTAAATGTATGACAGTGACATATTTGATATTTAAATAAACGGATAATTTTATGGACATTCAAATGATAATTTTGCTTATTTAAAATTGATCATTCATAGCAGAATTAATTTGGTATTTAGTCGAAGAAAAAGAACAAATGAGGTTTGAAAATATTAGGATAGTGAAACAATTTTTAAAACCCATATATAAGGCCTTTGGTAAACATTCAGATTTTAGTAAACATTTAAAATTTGTATTATCTACGTGCAAGGTGTTTTTATAAACATTAGGATCACACAGAAATATGTGATAATCAAAAATATATCAAAAAAAAAATATAATTAAAGGGGAAACAAACACACTGTTATCAAAATTGGGAATACATTTGCCTGACTGTTCCTTTAAATCCAGGCCATAAAAAGGTATTATTAAAGTGATAAAAACAACAATATTTGATTGCCACTGATAAAACAGACCTTAAATAGCTCCAAATGGACATTTAGTAGGTAAAATGATGTAAGCAGCAGAGCAGTTTGAAACATTAACCAGAGTCAAAGCCAGCAGTATTTGGTTTGGGAGGTATTGATTATGATTAAAAGGTTTTTGGAAAACGTTTTAACATTGTGTATCACGTTGTCAGTGTGACTAAGTACACAGTTACCTATAGTGCACCTGACATGACTTAATTAAGGCTGGTAGCTCCTGGCACTGCCAACTAATTAATTTGAATCACAAGATTAGGTAAGTGTAAAAGGTAATGGAAAAACATAAGTAACTAGGTAAGTAAACAAGGATACATACACTTATGTATATTCATATAATAACTATGGTGACATGGTCTTAAATAGGTCTTTTATGTTATAAAGTATGTAATTTGATTGTAATTTTGCAAGCAATACATATTTAGACATAAGAATATTGGGGTGTTTAACTTCATTTTTTTATTGTGGGTAACTGAAATAAAAGATTCTGATTGACATTTTTGTGTGTTTTAGAAGGTATATCCAGAAAGTTATGGATAAGCTTGTATAATCTTGAATGAATTTACTTTTAGTCAAGATAGTGAGAACTAAATCAAAATTAATTTTTTGACAATGTTAGATATACTCAGTAGTCAAAACAGTAAGATACATGTACATGGCGTTTTTAGCCAAGTTCGAATATACCTAGTATTTAGGCAAATTTGCTGCAAGGAGAGTTAGCCATGGGCTATATAGCATAATCCCTCATTGATTAAGCAAATAGATAAAGAACATTACAGGGGATACTCTGCTAGATTATAGTCTTAATGTAAATTGGGAATTGATGGGATGTCCTTTGTGCTATGACATAAAATCATTGCTACCTTTTACCATCACCATGGTATCTAAAAGTTTCCAGGTAAAGCATATGCAATAAACCAAGAATTTGTTTGTAAATGTTTATGATGTAGTGAACAAACAAAGTAAAAACCTTGCTTTAAAGTGCATGGCTAATCTCTCTGAACAAAATGTCACACTGGTATACTTCATACAAAAATTCTTTAATATAAAAAAGAATTTTCATGAAATTCAATATAGAGTGAAAAAATGGTTATATGGAAAAAATGTACACTTTTTGTCTTATGTAGGTTGATAGGAATAAAAAGTAGCTACTTATCTTGATTATTTCATAAAAGCAGATGTGATACCATAAATCATAAAATACTGACTTGTGTGGCTCAATCAAAAACAGACCGTGAATGGGAGCCCACAAAGGTCATCCAACATCCACCAACGTCCATTATGTCGATGATCGTGTCTCTTGGAAACTGACCACTGTAAAAACATTTTAATTTTACCACAGGGGTAACCATCCACAGGTGAGACCACCTGACCAATTATAACCACAAATGATTTGTAATAATTTCATCTAATAAATCACTGTATGGTGTTTGATGGTGACATGTTGACTAAAGGACTGCCGAGGTAGTGGTGCTCTTTCTGTAGAAACGATATAGACACAGCAAACAGCGGTATTATAGGATAATCAACCCTTAAAGCTGTGTTATGTTTACTTTGGGTGGATCAGGCACTGGCTTTGTTCAACAGTTATGAATAATTTAGACAATTTTTGACTGTGGTAAGGTGAGACATGTTTTCAGTATCAGTCATGAGAATTATGTTTTTTTAAAATTTTGTCTGTATTTGGACTTCTGCTATCTATATCAAATGAGGGTTTTGAAATAATTTTTTGTTGTTTGAGAAACAATCCTGTGTTTGACCATATTTTACTGTTTGTCAAGAATAATGATTGGTGAGAAAAGTGTTGTCTTTCACTAATCAGCAACAATTGATTTCTATATTAGCAATAATTAGAGACTTAAATGTTTTTCTTTGTCAAATTTGATATTTGTTTTCATGTTTTGGTTAAGCACAAATTAAAAAAAAAACTTTAATTTTGGTATAAGTTTAATTGTCTCAACATGATTTCCAGTCCAACTTTGGTACTTGCTATTCAATTACCATATTGATTATTACAATGACCTAATTATCAAGATTATGAAATATGTTTTTGTTTTTTTTAATTAGTAATCAATTATTTCAGTCAAAACCTTAAAAGGACACCATAAATGGTGAATGGTTTAATTCACATATGATTACTTGTAGATACTAGTATATGTATTTATGCAAGAATACACCATGATGACAGATTTATGTTATTTAAGTTTCAGGATTTGATTGAATATAATACAATCTCTTTATTGACAGTATTTACTGTGATCATGCAACCAGACATGATCACAGTATATTAAGGCTGTCAGTAATCCAATTTTTAAATAATATATGGGAAATTTAACTAAAATTTATGTATGAACACCTTTTCTGAACTTGACTGATCACTGGTGAAGTTCTGGACTCAGCCTTGCGCATGAAATGGGAGGTGTGTATGACCAGACATGTTTATATATTATTTTTAGCAGTCAGAGACACATCTTATCTTTGATCAGAGTTGACGTTTGCTCAACACAAACACAAACTTTGTCACACCTTGCGCATTTCAGGAGAAGCATCACACGGATCTCTGTGTTATTTCTAGGATAAGATAACCAGATGTGGGGCAGAGGTATACATCAATAAGTTTTTTTCTTTTACTGCAGAAGTCATTAATTCTCAATGCCAAGTTGATTTGAACTTTGGTATTTACGGATATACTTGTATCACCTCTTTCAGGTAATTGCATGTGAGCAGCAGTTGGATTCCTCCTACGATATACGGTGTGATGTTTGGTCACTTGGGATAACTGCCATCGAGTTAGCAGATGGTGACCCTCCCCATTCTGAGTTACACCCTATGAGAGTGCTTTTCAAAATTCCAAGGTAACAGAAAAATACTCTAATTTTTTAATCATTTTTCAGTGAAATACATTTATTGGATATGTAGTGGATGTGAAATATGCATCTAAAAATCTCCATCAATTTGAGTTTTTAAAATCATTAAATATTTTTTAAGTAAAGGTACATTTTAAAGTTGTATATGCAGATTAATGATTAACCATTGTTTTGCTATTTATTCAGAAATTAAATATGGAGAGCATCACAACTGTGAAATGGTGCTGAGATTGTAATGATGCTTGAATCATCTGAAAAGTAATTAACTACACTATGCAAATCACAAAGACTTTTGAAATTAATAAGTGATGTGATATAATAGCAATTTATGATTTGTCTTTTTAAAATGTTTTTGTGGTATATTTTTTTTATCTCTGTGAAAGCTGTTACTTTGCAGTTGCCAATGTAAGTTTTAGCTTCTTAATCCAGTAACACATTGAATGTAACAAACGCAAACAGTTACTCCACCTATCAATATCATGCCAACATTTTATCATAACAGGGATGTTTTGTTTCTGATTTGAAATATTAAATATAATGTTGTGGAACAAGACAATTAAGGTAGCCTGTTGTGATGTGCATGAAATGCTCTATGTGTTCTGATAGGAAATATGGCAAATTTCACAGTTTATGGATTCCTCCACTCTTCCCATTTCACGTAATTGCCACTTACCAACTGGTAGTGTGACAGTTAGGCCAGCTAATGAGCCTCTGTGTTGACTTGTAGGGTAAACCTTCTTTAGCATGTTATTTTATCTATCAATTTTATGCTTAGGGTATAGAATGTTGATTTAAAAAAACATAAGGAAACTATCTGAAATGTTCGTGAAAGAGCTTTGATGATAGTCAGATGATAGACAGGTAGAACATGCAGACATGTCTGTTTTACAAATAAGGGCTTTAACAGACTTGTTTAGGCTTTAGATGATATGCAGCACTTTTTATCTTCGCTACTTTGATTTTAGTTTGGGCATCTTCTTTAACCATTAAGAAATAGTACTTTAAAAGGCATGCTTAGACGCTTTTTTCTTTCTGATGTAGACCAAATCATAACACATTTCTGCTTATTCACAGATTTGTATGCGCATTTATATGCACTTACATGTAGTATGCGACGGACACAGTAATCTTCACTATCCCATGTTAATTGTGAAAATATAATTACATGTGCTAATATAATATTTGCTAGAAACTAATGCTTTTATTATGAGAATCCTAGTGTTTCCATTGTTGCCATTCAATATTACACTGCATCACTCTGTAATAGATTTACCTCAGATGTTCCAGCCACCAAGGTACTAAGTAATGTTTCTATCTTAATTTGTTAACCCACAATAAAAAATATGGCACAATAAAAGATTAGACAGTGTTGAAGGAATGTTTTGTTGTTCTAATCTATAATATGTTTTCTTTTAAGTTTCATTTTATTTTTAAAATCACAAAAAGGAGTTTTCCCTTCAGGCTTATTTGTTGTCCCCAGTTGGCTTCAGTAGTGCATGGAGTTTCGCATCTGAATATGTTCTTTTACCCAACATTGTGACAGCCAGTACATGTAATAATGATAATGACCTACATCTCAGTTGGTTGACAGTTATATTATCTCCTTGGAAACTTCACAATCCTATCAATATTATAGCCCAGTAATGGGTTGGCAGATATGGCAGACTATATACATTTCTGCTACATGCTGTTGGTTTAGTATAACAAAATTGTACAGAGAACATTTCCCGAAACTTATGCTGTGGCTAACACAGTGCCATGTAGTCTTGCTGAAAGAAGATAAAAGACGAAATTTCATAGAATTGTACAAAATGTTTAGCTTGTTGTGTATCTCTAAACAAGCACTGGGTCCCTATCTAATCAATGACTATTTCAGCAAAGTAAGATATCCCAATATTTAGGTAATGTTATTTTTTGTTTGACAACAAAAACTTCTTTCAGAAAAAAAAAATTCTCAGAATGTTAAAATTTTTCTGGTCCTCTTTTATCATACTAGAAAAAATGTGCTGGAATGAAACTTTTTACTGTGAAATCTGAAATAACTTGAATTTAGGGTTTTAGGATATAAGAAAATATTTTCAAGATATTCAAATAATTTTTTTTAATTGTCAAGAGTGTTTCGGAATAAATAAAACATCAAACTATCTGTAATAAAGCAATAGTTTTGTCAGTTACATGTCTGTCCATTAGACAACTTTGCTGTATTGTTTAAAATTCCATTTTATTCTTATGTGGAATAAGAACACACAAGGCAACATAATTAATTTCACTGTCTGAACTAAGTCATTAATGTAAAGCTTCTGTTGTTAGACAGTGATTTATCAGGCAGTAAATTACTGTTAAAGTGATATATTTATAGAGGGCAATGAATACATACAAAATGCTTAGTGATTTGTCTCTGTTTGTTAGTCCAGTTCATGTACTCACTGAGAAGATTGCAGAACTTGACTGGGTCAGAGCTTCTCACTTGAAAAGACTTAAGTGTGAAGTGATATATGTTTGTCAATAAATTTTCAGGCTTTAAAGAGCATTTTTTTTTGTCAGTCGTTGATTCTATTTTATAGGATAAAGCAACTACTGAATATTGCTATTAACATTGAAGTTTGATTTCAATTATGTTAAAAATGAACTTATATAAATATGTAACATATTTGTTGTCCCATATATGTATATGCAGTTGAAAGAAAGTTGTCTTTTGGATTGTAATAATATTTGCATACGAGAGGTGATATTATTTCATTCATATTATTTTCATATTTAATATTGGAATGTGCAATGCACTTCCAAGGGTGTTTATGAAAAACTGTAATTCATTGCATAGAAATAAAATAACTTATTTCATGATACATTCATGTTGATTAAGTAGAGAGGTCGATTTAGGTTGATGCCTGAGATTTGTATGCACAGATGGAAGTACACATGATACTGGCAGAATAATTAAGATAAATGGCTAATATATTATGGTTTTTGTAATTTATTTTTACATTTGATGCAATTACATGCTATATACCATAAGAAGGTTAGGATCCAATTGCTGCAGCATATAATGTACCAGAATGGAGTGTTTCAGGGATTTTCCATAAAAGATAATATATTAATGAAATAGCAGTAAACCTTTCTGAAATAGTTCCACAAATGTATTATCGCATGAAGCAATCTGTAAAATAAGCTTATCTTCAAGAGTCTGCCTGTTTGATTCAACTTGCTTCAGCCCACTGCGTCTAAATGGTCCTTTTGTTAATAAGTATCTATACTGGGAAATAAGATGCTTATTAATTGAGGACAATGTGATGACAGGACATTACTTGTGTTACTTGCAGAAGCCCACCTCCTACAGTGCAGCAGCCAGAACTGTGGTCAGATGATTTTCTGGATTTTATAAGCTGGTAAGATTTTTTGTTTCATATCACTGAAATTTGTGAATGAGATTTAGCAGAAGATAATTATGTGATTATATATTTGCTATTTTGCTGGAAAATAGATTTTTTAGTTTGCTAGAGAATAGAAATCTCCAGCTAATAAAAGAAAATAGATATCAGCAGAGCAAAATACATATTCAGTGGATGTAAAATTATTAAGACTAAATGTAAAATTATTAAGACTAAACTTAAGACTTTTTTGTTTCTTTCTAGTTGTGTGATAAAAGACTTTACAAACCGTCCATTTATAAGAGACCTGCTGCAGCATCCTTTCATAAGACAAGTGCCCAGGGATACAGCAGGGGTAAGCATTTTATCAGATACTTCAAAATAGCTGAAAACTCTGGTAGAACCCAATTGCAAGCATGTTGTATCCTTTTTTCATCATACAGTGATTTCCAGGTCCAGTGGTTCTTCATTTTCAAATTCCCATTCATGTCCACTTATTTATAAGCACACACATGTGGAGAAGTTGGCACATATTTAATCTGAAGCTCAGAATAATCTAACAAAAATTATATATATATCTAGATAGATATATATATGAATTAGAAGGGGAAGAACAATGATTCCATTTATTCCTACACTGTTTAAATTACTCTCAGGATTTATGATTCATTGTGTTTTATTGTCTTATTATTCATCATTCTTTCATTAGATAATAACTGCTTAGACTTATAAAATACAACTATAAATGTTCCTTTTTTGTTTGATAGATGCTGTAAAGATAAAAGTAGTCTGAAAAAAAGGCCAAAAGTCAAAAAGCACTTATTGCATGAGAATAATCCTTGAGGGAATCTAGGATTTACTTAGTATATGTTGCTTTTACACCATTGTTTGAACTTTGTAAAACATATTTAGAGATTCAAATTTCATGATATTCTAGAATTTTGTATGTTTCAGGCAAAAGCAGAATTGAAATCATTGATATCTGAGACAGAAAGAACAATTCACGAGCCAGAGATCACAACAAAACATGGCCGCCTGAAGTCTAAGCCTATATCCAGGAAATCCACTATGAAGACTGTAGATGATCTGGCTACCTTGGAAAATCTGGAAGAGGTATGTTATGATTTCTTAACAGTTGAATTTGAAGACATTGGCAGATGAATTATGACTGCTTTGTGAATGATGTTAATAATTCCCTACACCAAGACTCCTTAAATTATGACTAAAAAGTAATTATAGCCTAGATTAAAATGTAGTTATATGACTAGATTATTGACAGTTACTTAAATACTAAACATGTGATATTTTATTTATTTATTTTGTTACTAAGTAAAATAGTTGTTTCATTATCAGGATGTGATAGTAGATCACCTGTTCCACAGATATACCCAAGGACAGATATATACTTACATTGGTGATATATTGCTGGCTGTCAACCCCTTCAAGCCACTTACAGTTTATTCTGATCAGGTAGAATCTTATCAAAATGAAATTAAATACAGGATTTAGATTATGGTATTACGTGTGGAATTTTGATAAATAAAGAAAAATTCAGCTGCTCTTTTTGAAAATGTATCTACATGTTAAACTCCTGTATGGACCATTTAATGGAACTGAAGCTTTTTAAGACCATTCTGATTTTTAGATGATCTTTCATAAAACTGATTATAATATGTTGATTACAGTATGCACAGACTTACATGAATGCAGCAAAAAAGGACAACCCTCCACACATTTACGGAGTTGCAGACCAAAGTTACCAAGCCATGATGCACAACAAACACAATCAGGTATGCTACACAGAACAACAAACACACTCAGGTTATGCTAGATAGAACAAAAAACACAATCAGGTATGCTGTATAATACAACAAACACAATCAGGTGTGCTACACTGAACAACAAACACAACCAGGTATGTTATACTGAACAAAAGCAATCTAGTATGCTATGTAGAGCAGGAAATACAGTCGGGTATGCTATGCTGAACAACAAATGCAGTAAAGTGTGATAGATTACACCAACAATTGTTTGTATATAAAAAAAATTCTTAACTGACATAAAATTATTAACTTATTAATAAAACCTTGATTTTTTTATTATAGTGTATTGTCATCAGTGGAGAATCTGGATCAGGGAAAACTGAGAGTGCCAACTTTATGGTCCAGCAGCTCACCTTACTTGGAAAGGTGTGTATTTAACATGGGAGTTATTTTATATGTATACATTTAAGTAATTTATTTCAGAGTTGAGTAGTTATTTCTTATTTAGAAAGTACTTTCAGTGGTGATCAAATCCAATGGTAATTGAAAAAAAATTTAAAGCAAATACTGAAAATGATTTGTTTTATAATAAGAAGGATTGTGTAGATAAACTATAATGACTTTGAATGTTGTGCTGAAGGTGCAATTTTGTTTGATGTAAAGACAAAAATGTGTTAGGTGTGATGAAGGGAATGTGCTAGGTGTGATTGGTTATAAGAAAAAACTATGTGTGAAGTATAATGGTATACTGCGCACCAAAAATATTCTAGGCTCCCAACAGGACCCTGGAGGAGAAAATTCTACAAGTGAACCCACTGTTAGAAGCATTTGGCAATGCTCAGACTGTGATCAATGATAATTCCAGCCGCTTTGGAAAATATCTGGAAATGGTGTTCACTCCAACTGGGAAAGTAATTGGAGGTAAAGTTTAATTTTAATCCTGTGTGTAATATTTTTTAATTGATTTTTTATGATATTTTATATTCATATTATTTATATTACTCTTTCGAAGCCTGAGTGTGTATTTCTAACACCTGTTATGATTTGGATCATGACCCAGAGAACTGAACAGAAATTAAAATAATTCATTTTTGATAAATACATTATAAAGATTACACATATGATCTGATAAGTGGTGACTTTGTTAAATGCATTTCCTTTCTTTGTAACTATTATATTACTTGTAATTTTAAAATGTTTCTGTCTTTATTTTCCTTTTTAGCAAAGCTTTCAGAATATCTTCTTGAAAAATCCAGAGTGATACATCAGTCAGGGTAAGGATGGGAGCAGTAATGTATATTCACTATTGCTAAGATGTTTTTTCAGATAACATATTTTGAATTAATCTATTAGATTATATTCATGTATTTTTTGGTGGATAAAATGTTTGCTGTATAATATGGAGAGTGTATCTGCAGTTCACTAAATATTAAAAATTACATTACAAATACATGAAGGTTCCAAATGAACATGACAGATTGTAAAATTATTTTATCTAGTCGGTACAAAGGTCATGGAAGATTACATTTTACATTTTCTCTGTCTTCCAGTGGTGAGAAAAACTTTCATATATTATACTATATTCATGATGGGCTGCCAGTCCTGGACAAGCAGCACAAGTACCACCTTGATCCCAACACGCAGTTCAGGTAAAAAAAAAGCTCATTCATCATCAATTAAATGAGTTATATCAATTTCAAAATACTTCAATGCTTGTGTCTTATGTCACTGACGCTTTCACTGAACACTGAAATTATACCATTAAATATCCAAAGTTTAAATTACTGATATTTAGCAATGGACAGGTAATCAAGTCATCACAAAACTTCTTTTGACAAGTTTTTTATCAGTATCAAATCTCTTGTGTTATGTTGTCTTAGAAATATCAAAATAAACTTTTAAATTTTAAAATGTTTACTTTTCAGGTACCTCAATGGCTACACTCCCTCAGATGTAGCCACAGTGTCCATAAACAGAGTTAGGTTCAAAACTATTGAACACTGCTTTGAAATCATTGGCTTCAAATCACAGGTACATGTTGTAAATGTTAATCTTTGTATATAGAAAAGTTACAGTAACTATAGATGATATTATTGTGATGAATTATTTGAAAATAATACTACATATTAATATATTTTCTCAGTTAATTATGTTTATATAGTTGTATTGATTAAATTCAATATTTGTTGTGATCAGGAAACTTTTCTTTGCTTTGCATGTATATACAATTATGAATACCAGTATAAAAACATTAGAACTATGATTCTCATACTTCCCAACTGTTTGTGCAGGAGGTGACCTCCATCCATTGTGTCCTTGCCAGTATTCTCCACATAGGCAACATTCAGTTCTGTGTTGCTGAGAAAGAGTTCCAGAACCAGTCCAGTAACGTGGCCAACCCTCAACTTCTGGATATTGGTAAGTTGTGATGAAATGTGTTAGGTGTGACACTCTAGCAATGTGGCCAAATATATAAGCCCCTAGATATAGGCAGGTAAATTGTGTTACGTGTGACAGTTCTGCCAATGTGCCAAAACCTGAACTTGCAGATTCTGTTTGTTAAAATGTGTTTGGTATGGCAGTGTGTAAGGTTCTCTGATCTTATATTTGAACAAAAAAAAAAAAAAAAAGTTGATAGTGTATCTCATGGCAGCTTGAAACAACCACTGTTGGATAGAAAATATTACAAAGGATATTCATGTTTTTTTCAGTGTCAGAATTACTGGGTATTGACCCCAATGAGTTGCTGGAAGCACTGACCACCAGTGGAATGGTAGCCAGAGGAGAGGTGATAGTGCGTCACAACTCTGTGGCAGAGGCTGTCAATGTTCGTGACGCCATGGCCAAAGCTCTGTATGGCCGTCTGTTCAGCTGGTTGGTGAATAGGATCAACACGTTACTGAAGCCAGCACAGGCTGGAGACAAGTGAGCAATTAAGTGTTGTAATATTATACTTCAAAATGCTATAATTTCTTGCCAAAAATTCAAAAACACTATCATAAAGATAAAAATATTTTTGTTTTCTAGACAGGAAATAGTTGTGTATGTAAAATGATATTGACATTAAAAGATCAGTTAGAGTTCATGCTGAGGGCTTTGTCATAATTAGATATAAATTTTTATTTATTCAGCTCATGTAGATTTGAAAAATGTTGATGATAAAATTTAGATCATATATATAGGTGATTTAGTCTTTTATGTAGAATTTAGTCTGATGTATTTGTAATAATTTTTCTGTTTTTCAGAAATCATCATCTGTCAGTTGGATTGCTGGATATTTTTGGTTTTGAAAACTTTCCTTCTAATTCATTTGAACAGCTGTGTATCAACATAGCTAATGAACAAATCCAGTATTACTTCAACCAGCACATCTTTGCCTGGGAAATGGTAAGCGAAAATCTGGCAATGTTGAAGTATTTGTAATTTCTGTATATTTTTTTTTGAAATTCAAAAGAATGACTTTTGGATATTTAGTTATTATAGTAGTAAACTTTTTAAAACAATTTTGGTGTAATGAAAATTGAATGGTCTTCTTTATTTCTGCTCTGTTCATTCCATGCTAATTCCTCTATCTACATGAACATTTTAATATGTTGTTTAGGACTACTTAGTTGCATATTGTCACATATATAATTTTTGATTTATCATAGTTTTTATGATAGCTCTTGTTGGTACTAATATATCAACATGTAATTTGATCCTTTCCAGCAAGAGTACAAGAATGAGGGAATTGATGGAAGTCAAATTAACTTTGTGGACAATCGCCCTGTATTAGACATGTTCCTGGCCAAACCATTGGGTTTGCTGGCCCTGCTGGATGAGGAGAGCAATTTTCCAAAAGCAACAGACCAAACTTTAGTGGGTAAGACATGACGGTCATATTTTCATTCAAATTAGGTACCTTAATGTTTTTAACCCAGGTGTGATAACATTGCAATATTTGTGAAATTTTACATGATAGCTTGTAACACTTTGAATGGAGTTTTAACCTACAATTGAATTGATTGTTGTAGGAAAATTTTATTCATTTTTTCAGAGAAATTCCACCAGAACATCAAGGCTAGCCATTACAGCAAGCCAAAGGGGGACAACCCCATGTTTGCCGTGGAACACTATGCAGGAAGGGTTAGTTGACAAAATGGAACACTGATGAAACGTGACAAAAATTCAAATATGCTCTTTGTGTTTTGATTCATGAATGATATCTGTCCAAAAGAGCTGTTCATTCATCTAACAGCCAGAATTTTTTGTTTGAATTGATTTTACCTAACATTATGTGAATAGACATTCAAATGGAATTTATTCTTATGTAATGAATAAACAATTTTTAGAAAAATACCTAAAATGATGAGGAAAATGTCTTTTATATGATGCAAGAATACTAATAAATTTCTCCTTTGAAGGTTGAGTACGATGTCCATGGCTTCCTTCAAAAGAACAGGGACTGGCTGGCTCCAGAAACCCTCAATCTTTTGAGACAATCAGAGCTGTCACTTGTTAGAACTATCTTCCAGAGTTCTCTCACTAAAACAGGTAATGCTTTAATAATAATTCATTGCAAAATGTACACTTTTTAGTATCTTTTAAGTAATGAGCCATTTTAGTCACTTCTCTTTGTTTTATGTTGCTTTCCTTTTGATCAATTATTATTATCACAAATTTGATGTAAATTTTGTTTGTTTTTCCATATTTCTTTTTTTATTTTGATATATTTATTCATAATAATTGATCAGTTATTATTAAAAAAACTTTTTGGCATAACATAATTCCAGTGGCCAGTCAGTCAGGTAGGGATAAAGAGTGCAGTTAGACGAACTTAAAACATCTTTTTTTTAACAAAACTGTGATGCTGTGTATTCTGTTTGGAAATCTTTCAGGTTGTGTTTAGATCAGCATCATATTTGACTTAGATCTTGAGTGTTCTTTTGATTGTTGCAAATTATGTTTTTTTTTTTTTCAATAATGATCTTGTAAGTTGTGAAGAAGTAGGCCTTACTCATTGCCAAATGCAATTGTGTGTAATTATTTAGTGCTAAAAAGTGAGATGATTTGTAGAAAGGGTTACATTGTATAAGTGGTGCTGTACATGTAGTTAGTATTTCTTATGCATGATTCATTTAAAAGTCTGTTTTCTGAGAAATATATATTGACTTGGAGGCTGCAATGATTATTTCTTACAGTTTAGGGTTTATTCAATTTAGATAGATATGTTACTCTTTGTGTTACTTTCTTTGTTATGAAGAAATTCTTGAAAGATGAATTTATTACATAGTAAGTTGTATAATGCATACAGCTGTATAGAAAAAATTACTTTGCAGAGAAATACATCTGATTAATATTTGTTATGAAAAAGACATCCTTACTCATACAGATTATTTCTAATGTATGTTAAATCTTCAAAACTAAGTTTAGTTTTCACATCTTTTGACAGCCTTGCACATCACATTCTGATAGTGACTGTACTGAAATCAAATTTATCTTTAAAGGAAATTATTGAAAAAAATCTTCATATTTTAGGCCACCTTTCTAGTGGCAATAGCACTCCAAACACACTGGAGAGACCAAAGGGCTCCTCTACATTTACTGATAGCCTCAGCTCAAACTCTTCAATACTGTCCATCAAAAGTGGAAGTAGGGTAAGAAAAAAGATGTTTCACATTGTCTATTTAAAATTTTTGGAATGTGAATTTGTTATTTAAATGTATCTTATAAAGGATGTATATTTAAAACAGTATTATTTTGTTCCATTCAGTTATTTATACTTAATGTGAATGATATTTCTCTTTTGCCAAAAATGAATTCCAAACATATTTTGCTCTATGTCTGAGTAGAATTATTTGTTAGAATTATTATTCAATTGATATTTTTATTTTTTTATTTCATGCACAGCCAAGTTCTGTAAATGCCAGTAAGAACAAGATTCAGCAGACGGTGTCTACCTACTTCAGGTACTCCTTGATGGATCTGCTCTCTAAGATGGTGGCAGGCACACCACATTTTGTCAGGTATTATAGTCTCCTTAAATGTAAATATTCAAGAAATATGTGAAGAGCATTTACTTACTGAGTCAGCATGATGTATCATTTTTTACGATTTGTGAAATCTGTTTACTTCAAAATATTTGGACATCTTAGCGTGATTTCTTTCTTTCTTAACCCAAAATATTTATGAAGTTTCTCTCACTTTCAACAGTTTCCTATCAGTGATCCAAATGACTATTAAAATACATTTTTTGTGCGTGGTTACTCTACCAGATGCATCCGCCCCAATACCTGTAAGCAGCCAGGTTACTTTGATCCAGAGAAGGTGCGGATACAACTGCAGTACACGGGGGTACTAGAGACAACGAAGATCAGACGACAGGGCTTCTCCAACAGGATTCCCTTTGCTGATTTCATGGCAAGGTATGCATGATGCACATTTTGCTGATTGTATGTAAAACCCTTTGATTGGATTGAACATTTTTCTATGAAAGTGGTAGCCATGAGAAGAAGTCAAACAAGATTTTTTGTAAAAAAGAAGGATATGATAAAAGCTTTAAGTAGAAACTTTGTAGAAAGATGTGGGGCTCTTCATTGGGGTTGGCAAAAATAAATGAATAAATAAACAGATAAATTAATGTGTCTAACTCGTATATTACAGTTAAAATGATAATACTTGTCAACTGCTCTATTGTCTTAGGTACTATGTGTTGGGATTTAATTGGAAGGAAAGGAAAGTTGTAAACAGAGAGAACTGCAAGTTACTACTACAGAGATGTGGACTGAAGAACTGGGCAGTAGGGAAGACCAAGGTAAATACCCTAGTACCCCATATAGTGAATGTTGCTCTTAACTCACCCACTGGATTTGATATCTTTATTAAGCAATATAAAAGGAGAGAAGTATTATGTATTTTTATAATTGTGCTATTAAGAAAAAACTATTAAATTTAATTGTGCATTGTGTCGTGCAGCTCTTTTGGGCAATTAGGAAGCTGTGTTTAGTTTTGAAATAAGTAACATGTATCTAGGAGCTAGTATGTATTTTATTTTTAGCCCAACATATGGATGCTACAGCCAAAATGAACTAATTAGCTATTTTTAGCATTAACTTTGAAAATATTTTTTTACAATTAACTTTGAAAATATTGAACTATATATTATCTTATAATCTCCAAATAACATCGATTCTTCAAAATTTTATTGTAGGTATTCCTGAAGTATTATCACATGGAGCAGCTGGCTCGGAGGTATGAGGAACACATCAGACATATAGTAAAGGCACAGGCTCAGGTGAGAATGTACCTGGCCAGAGAGAAGTACCTCAGGACCAGGTGGGACAGGCAGAGAAGTGCACTGCTGATACAGAAAGGTAAATGATGAGGGAGCCTGAGCGTGTTTCTTGATTGTAATCTTTATGGGTCACTTTGTTGCTTCATTTTTTTTCAGATATATTGCCCAAAAGATAATCTCATGGAATGTTATTATTTATTTTCATTTTGATATAACTATATCAAAATTTGCATTGAGATAAAGGTATTATCATACACTGACAGATGGTTTTATTCTCAGTGTTCAGGGGATGGCTGATAAGGAAGAGGTTCCACAGAGAGAGAGCACAGAAAAGACGTGCAGCCATAGTGATACAGACAGGTATGGTGCATTTTTATCTTTCACATTTGAAAATGTAGAATTTTTCCAATTATTTGTTTTGTATTATAAGTATTTTTTAATTTGAAGGTTAAGTTATTACTTTTCATAATTTTCTCATTAAAAGTCAAAGATGTAATCATTATCTCAAATCCATAAATTATTTGATGTATTTCTTTGATGTTCACATCAAAATGCCATACCCAACATGTATTCAGAATTTGTTAGGAAAAAAACAAAAATAAATAGAGAAAATTATATAAATATTAAGGTCTATTGACATATTTTAGGCAAGAAGTTAAAGAAAGGTAAAATTACTCTATCATACTGTGTCATAAAAGTTATACATGAAAAGATATAGTAATCATTTGGACGTATTTTATACTGATAATGATGATAAGAAAAGGTGGGAAATGGAAGCATGGGTAATGTATTGGGTTGAAACATGAAGATTAAATTGGTATCATACATTTTGCATGTCATTTGTATTGTCCATGGTGTCACTTATACATGCTGTTTTGATACACATGTACATGTATGGATATATTAATATTTGGTTATGCAAGTGCTTGAGGGGAATTTATGATGAAGTAACAGACCATATTTGAGATATTTATGTGGTTAAGGTCAAAATGTGCAACAGTTATTTACATATTCTATTTAACTTTTTTTCTTGGTGTTCATTCATCTGAAATATTGTTTTGTATCTAGCATCATTAAACCTAATTTATTACAAAAATAATAAAAATAAAAAAATAGAAAGTAGCTCTGATGTAATGGAAAAATATCATTAAGCTTTGTATTACGAGCAATATTTATAGAGAAAATTGGCCATGTTCTACATTTCAGTGATCATTGTTATAAAGAATTTTTTTTTTCTTTTTTCAGCTTGGCGAGGGCATCATGTCAGGAAAAAACAGCGCCCTGAAATTGAGCGGCGACGTAAAGCAGCTGTGAGGATCCAGTCATTTGTACGAACTTACTTACAGAAGAGAAACTATGTCAAGTACAGGGCCCTTACACACAGTAGTGCCATTAAGATACAAACAGGTATGTGCAAAATACACGTACAATGTTTTATTAAATAAATTTTATCGTACAGTATAATACCTATACCTTTTTTTTTTTTTTTTACTTATCCAAGTTAGCAATTGCTTTTCATTTGATGTATGGTGCATTTTCTTGACCATTATTTCACTAATGTATGCACATTTTCGGCCTATTTTAGAAAATGACTTGAAAATGTATGAGATTTTTGTGTTTTCTTTTGATGATTTTTAGTTAAATTTAACTCTTTTTTTTTTCTTAAGCTTTCCGAGGGTTCTTTGCTCGAAAATTGGTGAAACACATGAGTGTAGACAGAAAGGAGAGACTGACCCGCTCTGCCATTGTGATACAGAAATACTTCCGCAGATGGAGAGAAATGTCTCGGTACCAGCAGATGCTAAGCTACAAGTCTCAGAAAGAGATACAACTTATATATTTTGGACAGCAGGTATGAGGAAAACATAAATGATGAATACATAAAACGAGAATGTAAGGTTTTTCATGCAGTGTTAACTCCACTACTATTGCTTATATAATATCCTCTAGACTAATATTATATATTCTGAGTGGCATTAGTGGAACTGCATGTTTAAAACCTGGCCTATAGCCAGCTCTCTAAAAGGGGAGTCTTTTTTGCTTAAATGGACCTTTTTACCTCTAGTTGAGAAATTGCAAAGAATTGCTTGTACTGCCTTACGCATCCAGAGACCTGCATCCAACATGTCCACTTCGTTACTTCAGGTTGAGATGCACAGTAATGACATGTTCAGAGTGCTGCAGAGAAACAACATGGCTGTTACAGCAACAATGTTACAAGAACAACAACAGCAGAGACTGCAACAACAGCAGATGCGGGAAGAATTACAAAGACAGCAACAGCAGAGACAGTTGCAACAGCAGCAAATACATTATCAGCAGTTGCAACAACACCACAGACCGCAACAGGTACCTGCATTTAGTGCCACTGTGTCTGTGCAGCCAAGGGCACCTGTGAGCCCACCCCCTCCCCCACCCCCACCCATGCCCCTACCAGAGCAGGTTGGGGAAGAGAGAGTTGAGCAAGTCGGCAGGATGAGGACACATAAGGTGCCATGGGGAGGTTGCCTGCAGTACTATGACAAAGTAAGTGAATATCACTATAATTAGGTTTTTACATTATGATGAAATATTGGGACTGGGAACTTTCTCTGCATGTTTGAAATTTATTTGAGGAATTTGAGCCTATTTAAAGATATGAATTGTTACATAGGTAATAAAAAAGTATGACACTTCATCAGAAGTGTCTAAATTGACTCCACTTGGAAGGGATGGGCATATTAATGAAAGCTATCCCTTTTCCTTTAAAAATATAAATGTGGACGCCCCTTCATTTAATGACTTATGAATACACAGAACAGTGTTGACTACTATGAAAATTATTTTTGAGTTAAAAATGAAAAAAAAAAAAATTTTAATGCCACAATGTGCAAAAAGCATTGCTGCCCTGAAATTGTGTTAGAGAGGTTACAATTAGTGCAATTATTGCACAATAACATGTTTCACATAAGGCATTTATGTGTTTATAAGTTATGAATGCTTCATCATTCTCATGTTAACTTCCTTTGTGTGATGAATCTTTTATCCTATGCACAAATTATCATGAGTTGATTTTTTTACCTGCAGGGGGAGGGAAACTTGTAAATGTTCTTCGTAGAAATGTTTTCAATGACACTGTTAAGGAAAAATTATGACATTTACGTTTTTCCGCCACACAGAAAGGATGACAAACATGTGATTATGTAATTAATATTCCTTTTCGTTACTCTGCCCCCGGAAACATGTAAATGCAGACATTTGCCAGGTGCACAAATAATAGTTAATATTCTTACAACATGGTGATCCTATGACAAAAAAAAAACAAGAAGGCCTTTATGTTATGACCTCTTGGCTGAAATAAATGCCTGTTAGTGAACTTGCCCGTATGTACTTGTTAACCTCCCAGATAGCGGTGCCGACGTTGGCCCAACATCATCTTTCTATCTGGGCTACTCCTTTCATAATTTTTTTTTTCTGGAACTCGTTCATTAATATGTAGAACACATTGACGTAGATAAAAAGGAAACGCTGAAGCACTCCAAATGTAATGCAGTGAAAAACAGGGCAGTAATGTATTCATGATTTAGTCATCATTCTAAATGTTCATTTAGAGATTGACTTTCATAATAACAAGTTTGTTCAGGTGCTTTACTACGGAACCAATGGTTGGTAATGGGGCTGTGAATGTGAAAAACAACTGATTAAAGGATGGCTTTATGAAATTAACCAATCCCACAGAAAATGATGACACACGTTGCTGCTTTTTTTCACTTTTATTATTTTTTGGTTGGGATTTACATTGTGTTTACGTAGTCTTTTTAAGTATTCCAAATATGCTAATTTGTCTTCTTCGTAGAAAGGTTTTGTTTATAATCAGTGCAAAAGATGCATGCCTTTAATGAATAGGCCAGTTTATCACAATTTACAATAGCATTTTTACCTTTTATCCGCATTAAGTACCAAGATCCAATGTACTCTGCTTTCTGTATTAGAAAAAAATATTCAGAGACTAGAAAGTACCTCTTGCAGTATAAAAATATTGCAAATCTGTCTTGGAAACCATGAAAATATTTTTATTGAAATATTATGGAATGTTTTCCCCTGTCTTTAATCCATTAAAATTTATAATAGAACAGATATTGGTAATTAAAAGTTAGGAAAAAACTGTTTATCTGGCTCAGGCTCTAAGCTGCAGCTTACTGTAAAGTCAGGATGAAATACATATACAGTATGTAGCACCTTTCCAGAATAGAAGCTTTTTTGCTTCGTCTTCATGCAGAAATTGTTAAAGTCTTAATATCTTAATAAGCCCTTTCTGGGGCCCTTCTCAAATCTTTTCTCTCTAGCACCTTTTTGAGATATTGAAAATTTAATATACTGTAGCCTTGCCATTACATTAGAGAGTCATCAAAATGGAGCCCCTATGCTTGACACGGCCAGCTGCTAAGCCTGAGATTTTCTGTGCTAATGACATGTTATGTTCTTTCACTTTATCTATATTACTGACAGTAACAATGTACATGTACTGCACATGTATTAAAGAAACATCTCCAGCATTCAATATGGCTACTAAACTCACATCCAGCCTCAGTTGCATCTTTGTGTTCAGTCTAAGGTGATACAGCATAATGTATTACAGGCTGGTATACTTTTCCCCGAGTTGAAAGAATAGCTCTATCTAATATTGATAAAAGTAATGCATTCATAATGTAATAAAATATAAACTTTAAAAAAAAAAGCAATTTCCAATACCATTCTGCATTCATATTCACTTTGACATGCTGGACCACTGTAGTAGAGAAATAGAGATGCCAACACATTCTGTATTCACTGTTGTATTTAAGACCATAACATTAACCAGTACCATCAAAATATAACATTTCACTACTTCAAGCTGGCTTTTCATTCCAGTCAGACAGTAACACTTTATTGTGAAAGTCCAAGTGCAGAGACGGGTTACTGTCCAGGCTGGTCCAGGACATGCGTGTCATGCGGTCACACCCCTGAAAGTGAAAACAGCCCTCAGAGTAGTCCCATTCTAGGTCACTCCCTGGGGGGTCCTGGTCCGTACCCTCTGTGCCCTTACGGTAGTAGAACCTGTGTTTTTTCTTTGATCTTCGAACACCACATGCGAAGAGGGAGAGAAATTTTGACCACATGTCTGTTCTGTTGCTGCTACCTTTTTTCTTCTTTTTTCTTTGTTGAATTTGGAATGTTTGTGTTTGTGGTCTGGAGGGCCTCTCTGTTTGATTGTCTTCTTCTTCCATCTTGGTTGAAATCTGAAATGTATGAAAATGTGAATGTTGTAGGGCTGTGTTCATTTTGAATAAGACTTACATATGTGATTGTATAATTGTCGTTTGGTGGGAAATTGGTGCATAATTGTTTTGTTTATTATCTGTGTGATGTTCCTTGTACTGGGTTATCAATACATTTAATTGAACCAAGAAAATTAGAATCTGTTTCAGTATTTCTTAATAAAACCTTCTAGACTTTTGAAAGGTAAAATTGGTGATTGAATTAAACCAGGAATTTTATTGCACAATTTTTTTTTGTTGGAAGTGAATCTTAATTATCTGTTTAATATAATTGGGTATGAATGAAGTCGTAAAATAGTCCTCTGTAGATTATGCTGGAAGGGAAATTTTATATTGTCTTTGTTTAAAATGGTATTGTTACTTTAAATACTTCATAGTACCAACCAAAGAGCACCTTGAACTTGATATCTGCTATCACAAAGCTACAACATAAACTTGCATGTACATGCCCAATCTCTTTTTGGACAACTAAATATAAAAGTGCACATACCTTAGGGCATCAATAAAACTTGATTTTCATTTTCTGCAATTTTTCAGCCCCAAAGTACTACAATTAACAGACTAATTTTCTCAAAAATTTCCACTAAAAAGACCTACTAGCAACATTGCAGACTGGCACAGACTGGTTTGTTAATCAACTCAGTTATCCCTGGAGTATTTATGCTACTAGTAGTTTGACATAAGCTCATTTGTTCATTATATTACCCCCTCCTCCTTAAGCAAATCCCTCAGGTGTTGCACAAATTATGGTACAAAAATGCCTTGTTGAAAGGTCCTTAACAGTGCTTAAACATCATCATATTTATTTTACTACATATTTGCTTTTCTTCTTGAATCCATAGATATACAATTTTACAGTTTAAAACTGTGGCAAGTATTTGAGCAAAGTATGTGTTGTATAGACATGTTTCTTTACACCATATCATTTGCTAAAAGTGCAAATGTACAAATCCTCCTCTATCCATAATTATGAAAGAATGCAACAGTATGGCAAGGATGTAAGATAATTTCAACAATATTCTCTACTTTTTCCTTACCTAAGTCACTTTGGCATCAACACGGAATCACTTGTGTATGGCTCTGAAATCAAACAAACGGTTTGCATGGCTTTGGTTCTGAAGATCGGGACCTATTTCCATCTGACTCCTTCACTCCTGCCTTTCTGGAATTACAAAAATTCTAGGTGCAAGATGCTTTCTCCACCATCCCGATTTAACTTTCAGTAAATCATCAAGTTGTGTGTATGTCAGTGAAGTCATTTGGTGTTCTGTAGCTGTGGAAGTATATTGGAGAACCTGTGTAGATGTTGTGATAACCTACACTTTGTAAAACACCCATGGAGTCAGAACCACAGAGGGAAAGCCTCTTGTGTTTAAGCCTCTTTTGCATGGTTTCTGAACGTAAAGAGCTCTGGATACCTTGCCTTTACCTTTTCTAACATTAATCGTCTGTGTGTTATAAATTTCCAATACAGCCAATTAATGCAACAAGAGCAGAGAACCCTTTCCACAGGGCTCTGGCTATGAAGTGCATAAGCTGGTTAGTTTTTGTGAATTGATAAATGAACTTTTGTTCAGGATATAGATTAGAATCGGAACATGTATAGTGTGCATATCTTTTCATTTCCACATGTTACTTTTAATGTTTATCTATGACAAAACAATAGGCAATTTGTAGATGACTGAAATTCCCACATTCATTTTATATCAGTTCTTATTTATATCTACTTAGGCATATATGTCATGCAAGAAATAATTTTTATTTATATATATTTTTTTCAAATAAAAGTCCTTTTTTCAAAACTTGGTAAACGTAACTTGTACAAGAGAGTCTTAACGAGCAACATACATAAATCATTTTGCTCCATTATTCATACCTTCATAATACCATAATATTTCATGATTAAAATAGCACTTCCTCATCTACTTAGGAAAGCAAGTACTACTCATTAAGTCATAGAAAAATACCTGTGTGATCAATGAAAGTGTGCAGACAGACCTTGGTTTTTACCTAGAAATTGAATTTACAGTCAAGTGTGATTATTCTGTGTTACATTTTCTTTTTTAAGTTTCCATGTAGCACATAATTAAAAATAAGGTAAAAGGACAAATAATGAAAATGTCTCAGACCTGTGGCATCAGCTGAAGCTCTTACCTTTACATTATGTGGTCAGTTTTTCCTCCAGTATCCCAAGCTGACCATACAAGTTGGCCTCCTGTCTGATCATGAATCAATATTTACTGAAGAGCAGCTGGGAGTACTTGCAGTCTCACTCTCATTCAGGTGGAGATTAAGCAGAACCACCTGATGCCCTATAGTGGGTGAAAGAGAATGGGTTGAGGCTGTGTAATAGCACCCATAGACAGGTTAATTAGTGTGATGAGATGATTAGTGATGTTTTATCTCCTGTGGTCTCATGTGGGGAGGTGTTAGTGTGGGTATTGAGAGGCCGTTAAGGCTCACATAGTCAGTGATGCATGACCATAAAATCTGGACACACATGGATTTTAACTGATATAAGGTGGCAAATGGCCACACGCAGACAGCTTAATGAAATCTGAAAAAGGATCTGATATTAACTGCTACTTATTTTGGAAATGAGGATGAAAATTTATTTAATATGTACCGTAATAATACCTTTGGGGCTTTGAATGCTTTTATGTTATATTAGGATTATTGTGCTCTTTTTTTCTTTTATAAACAAGATTAAGTTGTTATTGTTTTGTTTGGAAACAATTTTGTGTTACCTTTAGATGAAAAGACAGTGCCTTGCAATTGGGTGTGTAAAAACAGACAACCAAATTTTTCCATTAGCAGTCGTAATCTCAATATAATATAAAAACAGCCCACTTTGTTATGTTGCATTATGCATGATTTTAGTAATTATCAGTGAAAGTGATAACCATTAATAAGACATATATCCTTCCAGAATTTACAAAAAGAGGGGAAACAATGGATATCATATCCAATTTTTCTTCATAGAATAAGACATAGGTTTTTATAAATGATTGTTTATACAGGAAATAATAAAATGGACATTTATTTATGTAATATATGTCTCAGCCTTCAAGTATACCTCCCTTATTACAACAATAAAATTAGTATCATAACTTTCACATGCAACAGATGGTGCAGATGAACATGTTTTAGATAACGAGGACACTACACAATAGCTTTGTTTGGTTTTCTTTTGAGGATTGAAAGATTTGTAAATTAAAATGAGTAAAAAGGCTGTCGGTGTGATAAAAGATGATTCTGATTTGGCTGATGATTGCTTGATCTTTGCTTTTGAGGTAAGGCACATTTAGTTGTTGAATTTCTTATTTCATGATGTTAAATGATGGAAATATGTGCTGATTTCTGTTATCAACATCATATTAATATTTTTCTTTTATTTTAGCTGACAGAACAAAGGAGAGTAATACAAACATCAAGTGATGATGCAAGAAGGTCAAAAAGGTATTTTTTTACTTTTTACTTTAAGTGGACGAAGTAGATCATTAGTGTGTCTTAAATTCCAGTATATACTGATGTGTAACAAAGATAATGCTTAGTGAGCAGTGAAAAAGAGAAAAAACAATTTCAAGCAAAAACAAAGGAGATTAAAATAATAACTTCTTTCAAAATGATTCAGAGATAGCTTTTGCTAAAAATGTCACAAAAGTGAGTCACTGCTCATTTTTTTTTCTTTTAGATGGTTCCGATACATAAATAGTAGATCACACCTGTTCTTTAACAGTGATGTTCATGATTATTATTCTGGCACTTCGCTGTAAACGACTTATAAGGAAGTTAAAAAAAGAGTGTCACCAATCCCTATTTATGAAATTTAACATCTCATGACTTTGGATAGCATAATTGCATTCACTGTGATTACACAAGATATAAACATCTACCAGTACGTCATTATCATCCTTGTTTTTATGTGAATTTAATACACCCCATCCCTGTTTTATTTTTTGTTGTTGACAATTGCAACTTGTTCCTTTAGGCATTTAAAAGAGGTCACTCCAAATGATAGCAGTGGAGCCTACTATGACAGCATAGTACAGCAGATTCAGACCAGGTAATATGTTCATTTAAAGAGCAGGTAAAAATTGTTCACGTCCAGTTAAGAATAACTCTATGTTCAGTATTTAGGTATAGCATGTCCTAAGGAAATACAGGTGATCAGTGTCATTGTTCTGTAAGGTAAATGTTTTCTTGTCCCTTAATAATTGTAAGACTGAAGTTCGGATTAAGACCAGGTTAGAAATTATAACAGCAAGTAAAAATGATCAGTAGAACCAGACCTTGCCAGAAGGACCAGATATGTGTTATATTAAGTACCAGTACAGATGAAGATAGTAATGTCCATGAAGTGACAGGAGGTATTTAGAGAACAGACTCCAAGGCCACAGTCAAGTTGACAGTTAGAGATAATCGTCAGCTGGTGTTAAGTGTCAGAAAGCTGAATGGCAGTGTCTGTAATACCTGACTTAACAGTGATGGCTGTACTTCAAGTTACATTCTTGCACTAGTATTAAGTGGTCTGAATACAAAAGTAGGCACAGGGAATCTCTTTTGAAAGTTCTTGTTTTATTGCCTTTCATATAAATGTCCGTGTATTCCATTAGTGAGGCATGTATTCTGAAAACTTAAAGATTTAAAGGTATCCTATCTTCATTTTAGGAAATACAAATGTTGCCAGATTATAAAGTATACATATGACAAACTTCCTTATTTACTAATTTAATCTTAGTGCATTTTGATCATAGTTTCAGAAAAATTCCACACAATGCAAATTTAAAATGTACACAAAAATATTTTGTAAACAAATTTCTTAATTTTACTGTGATAGCCAAAGATCTCTCCCATCTCCTGTCACCAAGAGCCTTCTTGGGAGCATGTACCTCTGTTTATCATCTCATACATTTTTGGGAGGACTTATCCTGTTTGTAAAGATGTGGACACAATCACTAGCAAAATATATGTGATTTACATCTTGTGTCAGTTGTTGGGTATTGTGTCATTGTGAATACAGCTTAAGAATAAGAATATCATGTTCTGAAGACAGAGCCATTGAAGATGTTCACTATGAAAATACCTCCAGTATCCATTACCTTTTTTTCACCCAAATGGCAAGCTGTATTCCTGTATTTCATTATGAAATTCTATAGAAAATCACTGCAGCAGAGTTTACTAATGGACTGACCACGGGACCAGTATTCAGCACACCAAATATGGTAAACATTGCATAAAATTCAAGTCATGATTTTGAATGACAAGAAATAATTTATGGGATCATACAAAGCCCTATGAAATAAGGACCCTCAAGGTGCTGGTAAGACCAGGTACATTTAAGTTTCAGACCTCGGGTTCTTATAGCAGCACAGTACAGTCACTTGCATCAGCTGTCTAAGTAGGTGTCAGTATAAACCTGTAATACCTGTATAAGTCTTGTGCAAGGGAAATGTTCTCCAGAGGTGTGTCTACATATAGACCAGAATATTCTAGACTGACACCATTACGTGTAGACCACGTCACAAAAAAACAGGGATTTAAATGTCTGAGGTGCAACTAAATTAAGTCTCTGGATCCAATCCTCCCATTAGAAGGAATCTGTTGTCTCTATACATTTTTGAAGATAATCAATCTGATTTTGTTATTTTGGACAAAATTATGTTTCCAGCCTAAGGCAGCACTGGTGTGAACTGATCCTTGATTTAAAGCTGTCATGACCTGTGTGTAGCTGCAAACTACCTTGGCTCTGTGACAAGTTGCGTGGTGTGTGCTCTGTTCATCAGTATTCAGGGTGTGAGAAAAATAGCCTTGCTTCTCTTTGATAGTGTAGGAACTGGACACTGCACCTACTCATAGGTATAGTCACAGTTAAAGAAAGTACTGNATTTTTGGGAGGACTTATCCTGTTTGTAAAGATGTGGACACAATCACTAGCAAAATATATGTGATTTACATCTTGTGTCAGTTGTTGGGTATTGTGTCATTGTGAATACAGCTTAAGAATAAGAATATCATGTTCTGAAGACAGAGCCATTGAAGATGTTCACTATGAAAATACCTCCAGTATCCATTACCTTTTTTTCACCCAAATGGCAAGCTGTATTCCTGTATTTCATTATGAAATTCTATAGAAAATCACTGCAGCAGAGTTTACTAATGGACTGACCACGGGACCAGTATTCAGCACACCAAATATGGTAAACATTGCATAAAATTCAAGTCATGATTTTGAATGACAAGAAATAATTTATGGGATCATACAAAGCCCTATGAAATAAGGACCCTCAAGGTGCTGGTAAGACCAGGTACATTTAAGTTTCAGACCTCGGGTTCTTATAGCAGCACAGTACAGTCACTTGCATCAGCTGTCTAAGTAGGTGTCAGTATAAACCTGTAATACCTGTATAAGTCTTGTGCAAGGGAAATGTTCTCCAGAGGTGTGTCTACATATAGACCAGAATATTCTAGACTGACACCATTACGTGTAGACCACGTCACAAAAAAACAGGGATTTAAATGTCTGAGGTGCAACTAAATTAAGTCTCTGGATCCAATCCTCCCATTAGAAGGAATCTGTTGTCTCTATACATTTTTGAAGATAATCAATCTGATTTTGTTATTTTGGACAAAATTATGTTTCCAGCCTAAGGCAGCACTGGTGTGAACTGATCCTTGATTTAAAGCTGTCATGACCTGTGTGTAGCTGCAAACTACCTTGGCTCTGTGACAAGTTGCGTGGTGTGTGCTCTGTTCATCAGTATTCAGGGTGTGAGAAAAATAGCCTTGCTTCTCTTTGATAGTGTAGGAACTGGACACTGCACCTACTCATAGGTATAGTCACAGTTAAAGAAAGTACTGAACTGGACTAGATGACAAATGGCTCACTGGATTAGCTAAGGATTGATTCATCCTCAGGTTGTCTTTATAAAGGGAGGAATGTACTTATACCACTTTAAAGTACTCATGAAAGCTGTTCTTGCATTGCAGATCTGAGAAAAAAATCTTTGCTAGTAAGAATCGTGATAGCGGATCTTGGGATCAGCCTTTAGAGGAAGCCAGGAGAAGAGCACTGTCCTCAGAGTAAGTCCACAAAATATTTAATTTTGCATGTCAGTTTGAGAAATGACACTTTCTTCGGAAAATTGCTTTATCTTTTAACCACCTCCGAATTGAACCCACAATTTTTTTTTTTGATATTTGTAAGTGAAACTTTTATTTTGGAAAGGTGCTATTTACTGAGTGTGTAAATTAATGTTCACAAAACAATTGTTTCTTCTACATTCATTTGTTTCCTGGTTCAATAATTGTATTTAATATGATAGTTTTTGTTACTATATCTAACAAAATCTTTTTCTTTTTGCAAATTGATACTAGTGGTGCCTGATAATTGTATTATATTGTTGTTTTTTTTTCGTCCTACAAATTGAAGAATTTTTCAGTTTTTAAAAATTATGTTTTATTTTAAAAAATGTGTTGTGCCACATTTTTGATTGTCATATTTGACAGTGATGTCAGCAGTTGGAAACATGTGCCAGTCATTTTGAAAAAAAAAGTTTAAATATTGTTATGATTTATATTAATTGATAATGTATAATCTTTTTCTCCACCATGCTGCATATAAAGGGACATTCCTAATAAATTGACCACTTCACTGACCACGTGTAGTTCTCTGACCAGTCCACTCACCCCAATCACACCCCTGGCAAGCTGTCTGACCAGTCCCCTCTCCCCCTGTATAAGTACAATCCCCAGCTCTCCAGGGAGTAGCCTGACACCCTTAAGTTCCCCATCTGACTACAATATACTACATGTGCCTGGAACTGATATCATGGCAGACTCGGAGACAGAACAGGAAAAGCTTGAACCAGAATTGTCAGAGCTTGATGAAATGTTCCGTAAAATTCTTGCTACCACTGCTGCCACTAAGTTGATTGCACAGTCAGTGTCTAATTGTCATTGTTGTAGCTCTTTTTTTCAATTTTGCAATTTAAGTGTTGTTATATCTGTCATCTACTTTGGATGTTTTGGTGCTGATTTTGAAGATAGAGTAAATAAGTCTTTTTTTGTGTGTGTGTGTTTACATAACATTATGAGTAATGTGCTTGTCTTGTAAAATTTGATGTGCAGGAGTTTTATCATTTATACACCTTTTAGTGTCTCAGTTTTAATTTGTCCAAATAAAATTTATAACTCAATATAGAAAATTTCACACTTCTTAATGATGTGATTTAGCTTTTAACACATAAGATTAAATGGTTTTTAGATTACTAGTATTATGTTTTTTTTTTGTTTTTGTTTTTTTTTGAAAAAAATCTTTGTAGCTACATGCAGCTGAGTTTGCAAGGAATTTGTCTCTGTATGGTCCATCACACCTTTACTCGTAAACAAGAATGTTGACACTGATTAATTATCATTAGGTCATTTATACATGTAAGTTCATGTTAAGAGAGATGTTTACCCCTTTTCTTTTAAGCTTTTACTGAAAGATTTGGAGATTTTTGTAACCAATAAAACTTTCGCATATTTATGCATCATATGTGGTGAATCCTTCATATAGCACACTTTTTTTCCCTGAAGGAAAGTCATAGGTTCTGAGGTAAAGATGAAGTTTCTTTTTAAAGCAAACCCAAGTCTGAAAGTCTATTGAGAAGTCCTGCTGACAGTGTTTGGAGTTTACCATGGGATGCCCCACTTCAGGCTAATTATAACACAGCTCATGATGCTAGGTTAGTTATCAGGGGGTACTGCATGGGGTATCTCGTGTTTTATTTCTTCACAATACGATCACAATATTCTGTGATAGTTTTATTGCATGTATATTGGTGTTGCAGCTTCCAAGTTTAATTCGTCTTTTAGTTTCCAAGTTTTATATCTTCAGCTGTTCTTAATACCTTTCATTTTTATTTTTTCAGAGTAATGAATGATTTTGCTTGTTTCCCTCTGAATTTTTTAAACGCNAAACCTGTAATACCTGTATAAGTCTTGTGCAAGGGAAATGTTCTCCAGAGGTGTGTCTACATATAGACCAGAATATTCTAGACTGACATCATTACGTGTAGACCACGTCACAAAAAAACAGGGATTTGTATGTCTGAGGTGCAACTAAATTAAGTCTCTGATTCCCATCCTCCCATTAGAAGGAATCTGTTGTCTCTGTACATTTTTGAAGATAATCAATCTGATTTTGTTATTTTGGACGAAATTATGTTTCCAGCCTAAGGCAGCACTGGTGTGAACTGATCCTTGATTTAAAGCTGTCATGACCTGTGTGTAGCTGCAAACTACCTTGGCTCTGTGACAAGTTGCGTGGTGTGTGCTCTGTTCATCAGTATTCAGGGTGTGAGAAAAATAGCCTTGCTTCTCTTTGATAGTGTAGGAACTGGACACTGCACCTACTCATAGGTATAGTCACAATTAAAGAAAGTACTGGACTGGACTAGATGACAAATGGCTCACTGGATTAGCTAAGGATTGATTCATCCTCAGGTTGTCTTTATAAAGGGAGGAATGTACTTATACCACTTTAAAGTACTCATGAAAGCTGTTCTTGCATTGCAGATCTGAGAAAAAAATCTTTGCTAGTAAGAATCGTGATAGCGGATCTTGGGATCAGCCTTTAGAGGAAGCCAGGAGAAGAGCACTGTCCTCAGAGTAAGTCCACAAGATATTTAATTTTACATGTCAGTTTTAGAAATGACACTTTCTTTCTTTTCTTTTTTTTTTTTTTTTGGTATTTGTAAGTGAAACTTTTATTTTGGAAAGGTGCTATTTACTGAGTGTGTAAATTAATGTTCACAAAACAATTGTTTCTTCTACATTCAGTTGTTTCCTGGTTCAATAATTGTATTTAATATGATAGTTTTTGTTACTATATCTAACAAAATCTTTTTCTTTTTGCAATTTGATACTAGTGGTGCCTGATAATTGTATCATATTGTTGCTTTTTTTCATCCTACAAATTGAAGAATTTTTTCAGTTTTTAAAAATTGTGTTTTATTTTAAAAAATGTGTTGTGCCACATTTTTGATTGTCATATTTGACAGTGATGTCAGCAGTTGGAAACATAAACCAGTCATTTTGAAAAAAAAAGTATAAATATTGTTATGATTTATATTAATTGATAATGTATAATCTTTTTCTCTACCATGCTGCATATAAAGGGACATTCCTAATAAATTGACCACTTCACTGACCACGTGTAGTTCTCTGACCAGTCCACTCACCCCAATCACACCCCTGGCAAGCTGTCTGACCAGTCCTCTCTCTCCCTGTATAAGTACAATCCCCAGCTCTCCAGGGAGTAGTAGCCTGACACCCTTATTAAGTTCCCCATCTGACTACAATATACTACATGTGCCTGGAACTGATATCATGGCAGACTCGGAGACGGAACAGGAAAAGCTTGAACCAGAATTGTCAGAGCTTGATGAAATGTTCCGTAAAATACTTGCTACCACTGCTGCCACTAAGTTGATTGCACAGTCAGTGTCTAATTGTCATTGTTGTAGCTCTTTTTTTCAATTTTGCAATTTAAGTGTTGTTATATCTGTCATCTACTTTGGATGTTTTGGTGCTGATTTTGAAGGTAGAATAAATAAGTCTTTTTTTTGTGTGTGTGTTTACATAACATTATGAGTAATGTGCTTGTCTTGTAAAATTTGATGTGCAGGAGTTTTATCATTTATACACCTTTTAGTATCTCAGTTTTAATTTGTCCAAATAAAATTAATAACTCAATATAGAAAATTTCACACTTCTTAATGATGTGATTTAGCTTTTAACACATAAGATTGAATGGTTTTTAGATTACTAGTATTATGCTTTTTTTTTTTTTTGAAAAAAATCTTTGTAGCTACATGCAGCTGAGTTTGCAAGGAATTTGTCTCAGTATGGTCCATCACACCTTTACTCGTAAACAAGAATGTTGACACTGATTAATTATCATTAGGTCATTTATGCATGTAAGTTCATGTTAAGAGAGATGTTTACCCCTTTTCTTTTAAGCTTTTACTGAAAGCCTTGGAGATTTTTGTAACCAATAAAACTTTCGCATATTTATGCATCATATGTGGTGAATCCTTCATATAGCACACTTTTTTCCCTGAAGGAAAGTCATAGGTTCTGAGGTAAAGATGAAGTTTCTTTTTAAAGCAAACCCAAGTCTGAAAGTCTATTGAGAAGTCCTGCTGACAGTGTTTGGAGTTTACCATGGGATGCCCCACTTCAGGCTAATTATAACACAGCTCATGATGCTAGGTTAGTTATCAGGGGGTACTGCATGGGGTGTCTCGTGTTTATTTCTTCACAATACGATCACAATATTCTGTGATAATTTTATTGCATGTATATTGGTGTTGCAGCTTCAAAGTTTAATTCGTCTTTTAGTTTCCAAGTTTTATATCTTCAGCTGTTCTTAATACCCTTCATTTTTATTTTTTCAGAGTAATGAATGATTTTTCTTGTTTCCCACTGAATTTTTTAAACACATAAAATGGAGCAAAAGAATCATAGTTTAAAATTCTAGATAGTGATAATTATAGTAACAGGAAGGATGTGTGATGTAATGGCACATGTCAGGGATGGAGCGGGATGACATCATAGTGCCGAACAACATGTTTTATGCATAGATTTTGTGTTGCAATCTCTGATGAGAAACATGTTTTGCCGTAAAGGATAGTTTTCTGGACCTTGTATGCACAAGTGTACCTGAGAATTAATTTGTGGTGAAGTGATTTACAGGACGGACCTGACAGTTTTGTGGTACAGTTTCCCATTATGTTGGCTAAATAATGTGTTTGGGATAACACTTCAAAAGAGGACAGATGATGGATTGGAACTTAGTTCTGATGAGATTTTGAAATGTTTTAATTAAAATCTTATCCTTCGTGTTATTCAAGGATATTTTTAAAATATCTTTTTGGGGTGAACTGTTTATTTAATTGTGATGAGGACTTTATGAAGTAATTTGATTTGAATGTCAATTTCCTGTTGCTTTTATAAACCAATTCATCACAGAAGTGGACATAATGTGATGGGCATTAATGTTTTACATTATTTAATTTTCGAAGTACAAAATTAACAGTAAATTTTTTTTAATTCAGATCAAATGAGGTTGTAAGATTATAGCAGTTAGTTGCCTCTTGGTGGTTGCTTTTAAGTGCACTTGACCTCTTCTTAAAATTGCTAAAAGCTCAGCTTCTTGGACATTATAAAGGTTAGATGTCAGCCACAGTCTGCACGAAAAAGCTGTCAGTTGAATACATAATATGAAAGAAAAATGAAAAAATCAAAACATGTATGATAAGTTTTCTTATTTTTAATTGCCCCAAAATTAGTTTGGATGTAAATAGTTCATTAAACTTTTGTGTATGTTTGAAAAGTTCTACAATTTTTGTACAGTTTTGTTACTTAACAGACTTAGTTAGTAATTAGGTAATCTCTAATATGAACGAAGTAAGTTCCCACACAAGTAAAGATAGGAAAAAGTTGATGACAAGGCATTCAGTCAAGTGGTTTTGGATATTAAATGTGATTAGGTCATTTTTTTCTGAAGTCTTTCAATAAGAAGATACCAATGGCAGTTTTAATCTGTATATGAAGTTATTCTGTACTTAAAACATGATAAACATATCAGCTTTTTATAATGATATGTTAAATGTTTGATATGTATGTAAAGCTGCCATGTCCATTTTTGTTTTTTTTTATCTCCTTGTTTACATTTGCATTGTTTCATTGTCATGCTGCTGACGTAGGAGTGTGCATCCTGGGGTTTCTACTGGTACCATTTGGACCAATACCTCTGGCTGCAATACCCCTTGGACCAATACCCCAGGGTCCAGTACCCCAGTGCCTGATAACTCCTCCCGCTCCTCATCCACCATTATAGGGGAGGAGCACACCATTATTGACACCATTCTCTGGGATTACTGGGAGGAGCTTGAGTATGCAAAATATAAGCTTTATGTCATTGCACCATTGATGTTCTATAGGGAGTGGGGGGTGGGGGAGTGCACCATTATTTAGACCACTCTTAGTGAGCACTTGGTGGAACTTGTATATGTTGTGTATGTTGCATGTGTTATTGCACCATAAATGTGTGTGTGTGTGGGGGGGGGGGAGCTTCATATTATTTTGACACTATTTTCAATGGGAACTGAGGAAAGCTGAAAAGAATTTATTCAGTATGGGTTATTTTATCACCATAGGTATCTGCACCATTTATAAACAACTTTATGTGATGATTTTTAAAGTGAATTTTTATTAATGCTTTGTTGAGTTCTGAGTGTGTGCACCCAACACTGACATGCAAGTAGAGCAAATAAAACAGAATGAAAAGTTAAAGTTACAGTAGGGTGATAGACAGAAGTTTAAGATAGACTTAGAGCAGGGTGTTATATATTGCATATGTCTTTGTATATAAACACTGTATAGTATGTAACATGTATGGAAAGTCATGTTTCTAGTTTAGTTAGGTCAGACTAACTTCAGACAATTTTGCTGGTCATATGATAGTGATTACCTCAGTATATATAGTTCACCATTTATATTACAAATCAAAAAAATTTAATCTAGCTTTTGTAATTGCATTACTGTAATAGTGGTAAGCACTAATTAAGCCAATAGATTGGCTTAATTATTATAGTAAATTAATCTTGATTACACATGTCGCTGAAACATATGTGGTTTGCTAAGGAAGGTCAAACTTGTGTCAACCCAACTTCACTGGAACCACAACTTAAACTTGTACATGCAGGTGCATTTTCCCTAAATTGTTCCATTGCTACTGTACCCAGTTCACAGTTTAGTATGTCTGATATATAGCATGCATGCTGCTGACAATGTACACAGCTTAACTTTTTCCTCTATAAGTGTTACTTAATTAACAATAAGTAATTAAGTAATATATATCTCACCCTTTTTTCCTGCAATTTCAATACCTTTTTTTTTTTGTCATTTTTTTTTTCTATTTTCTAAAATCTTTTTCAGGTATTAAACCAGGGACTTTGTCTTTTAAACTTTCAAGGTATTTAATTTGTTTCTTTTTCAGTTCAGATGATTCAATAGTTTACAGTGGAAATAGAAAGACCTCAGATAATAAATCAGGAAGCACTCCTTATATTGTAGAATCCCCACCTTCATCAGTGGGGTCACCCTCCTCTCCTGTCTCACCCCCTTTTAATCCCCAGGAGCAAAGCTTTGCCTGGGATACAGTTAATGTAAGAACAATAGATTCAGATCCTTCAAGCTTCGAACATCGCAAAGGTAGTGGTCAGTCATCTGGTACATCTGAATACAGAGAGCGTTCAGAAAGCACAGCATCAGAATTTGTATACATTCAAAAGTCAAACCCAGTATCACCTGTTCTTCCAACAAAGTCCATGGCCAGAGACAGAAAGAACAGTGTAAGTCAGAAGGAGACTGTGAGAGTCGTGAAGCTGGAAAAGCATGGGAGCCATGACCAAGGTGGGGACACCCTGAATAGGCAGGCCACTTACAGTGTGCAAAAGAGCAACAAGGTACTTGTAAATGGTGCTGAAGTGAAGAGAGCCACCTTAGAAAGAAAAGCAAGTGCCAGCAGAGTATATGTTGGGGGTGGAGGAAATCATGAATCAGCTGACAGAAATAACGGCAGCCACCATTCTGCTCCAGTGTATTCTGCAGTGTACCGACATGCTCCAACACATGGAAGTCCCACTTACTCCACATATGGCAGACCCAGTGGCATTCCAATGGGATTTGAAGGCTACCCTGACCCAGTGTATTCAAGACCTCAGGTTATTCCTATGGGTTATAGCAGTCCACCGAAGAGTAATATGAAGGGAGCTAGCAAAGTCTATGTTGGGCCTCAAAGTCCCCCTTCGCATGACTGGAGGTCTTCCAATAACAGTTCTAATATTTATGATGAAGTCCCAATTCAGAGACAAAATGGAGTTCATATGCAAGAGGGAAGCCATCCTGCAGACAGAAATTATTACACCCACAGTAACAGAAAAGAAGAGAGCTATAGAAACAGAGTTAGAAGTGGGAGTGTAGGATCAAGGCCTACAGCTACTCGACCTCAAAGCCCTACGAGGATCTATGTACCGCCCCCTAGTCACCCACAGCCGCCTGTTTACAAGTCGTCTGCAATTGTGTATGTGGATGGTGGAAAACCCTTTAAAGGCAGAAAGTTGGTGACATTTGAAAATTAATTATGCACTGTTGTAGACAGCTTTTTCTAACTGCAATTGCTAACAGCATGGGTGGACTAATACATGCCATTTGATGTAATCCAGTAAAAATCAGGCATTCGTTTTATACACAGCAGAGCAAGCTACATATTTGAAGATTTTTTGCAATTTTTACATCACAAAAGTCAGTGACTCTTATTTATTCAACAATATATTCATTTTTTTAAAATTTATTTATTAAAAATTTTAATGAGCAGATATTATCTTATTTTTTTCCAATCTTAAAATGCAAAAATCAATCTGTTTGATTCACATTTTATTTTCTGTAACATAGAGCACACATCTGAAACATCATCTCTATATCCAAAATAAATTTACTTTTTAATTAGCTTTCTGGACTTTTGTAAGTTGAAAAATGACAGCTGATGTATTCATATTGTCAAAGGATCATTTAGATCAAAGAAGTTCTGCGTCCAGCAAGGAAACAGTATTATTGATTTATTTCATGTTGGCAATATTTCTTTTTGGATAAACAACTTACTGGGTGACAGGTATAACAGTCCTAAGTGAGATATATGTAGATTGTTAAACATCAGTTAACAGTGGTGATGGATCCCAGAAACTTACATCCCCCCATACCCTGCCCCTAATCTGCAAACTTAGATATTTTGTTGTCTTTCAGGTAATGAAGATATTTAGATTAATCCAGGGGTGGATATTATTAACTGTTTTCATTTATCAAAGGGACTGTATACAGGATTCTGGCATAGAAAAATGCAATTAACAAACTTTCCTGGCATCTCCACAAGTATCTAGTACTTACTTGTCATCACCTATCCAAATCAAAACTTGAAAATACCTCTTACTTCACTTTACTTAAAAACATAACGAACAGTTACACAAATTTATTATCTTTAAAAGACTAACATTTGGGATATAAGATTAATTTAAGAGAATGGAAGTCCTACATGCATACCCTTTGATATCATTTATCATAATACCAAAGTGGCTTGGATGATATTACTTATCAATTGATGATATTTAATTGTCTTTGCTTTCAATGTCATTGATATATATATTAAAGTGTTCTGTGGACAGTTAAAGGTGGCTTTAAATTTATTCTTGTGATTAAACAATTTAGCAAAAATGTAAACTAGTCAGTCAGTGAAACAAATGGTCATTTTATTGATTAACTTTTAAAATGTGTACATGTTATTCTTTATTTTGAGTAATTAAATATGTTGACTTTGAATATATTTAAATGATGTGAAGTTAAATGAAATATTTGTGCAGATGGAAACAAAACTATTTTAAAAGAACAATATGTATTTTTGGGGTTAGTTTATTTGATTATCTGTGTTTTTTCCAGGAATTCTACACATGATGGTGTAACCAGTGTGTATGTTGGTGGCTCTAACGGCCAGAGAAAAGATGTGAGACTAGGTAGGTTTTTTTTTTCAGCACAAATATTAATGCAGGGTTCACTTAAAATATACCAGTGGTATAGGATTAGGTGACAGAATAAGATCACATATGTTTTGGAGTCATGAATTGTGCAGTTGATGGATATTTTCATATATATCTAGATATAATCATTTGGTTTTTATTTTCTTTATTTTGCTTATTTTATTAATCCTTCTTAATTAAATCAGGCAAACCTACTGTGATCAAGCTGGACAGTACCAGTAATGTCCAGGTGGACTCCATGGACAACGTCCAGCCTGTGAGAAAGTCCTCCATATCCTCCTCTGCGAAAAATGGACACAAATCTCCAGAAAATCATGTTCATTTTGCTGAGTAAGTATGCATAGTTTTTTAGATTTGGTAGACATTTGGAAGTATTATGTTGGAGCAAAAATGAATAAGAGACAGTTTAAATATAAATATTTGGGGAAACTCAATAAAGTTAGGAAGATTATCAGTTTTAACTTTCTTAGTCCAGCAGTAGAGACGAACCATAGTGTCATTTCCTAATTTTTAATACAGTAGGAAGATAAAGGATTGCATTGGTTGAGAGTAAATGTGATGTGGTTGCTTCAAGTGAGATATAGGAAATGGACAAAAGACGTGAAGTGACAACATCTGGGTTTTTTTTAAAATTATTTTTGAAATTCCTTTTGTCTCTTTGTAGTGGTTGTTTTCAATTCTTTTGTTGCATCCCACATCATCGAACAAGCGTTGCCCAAAAGGTCATGGTAAAAAAAGAAATAAGCACATGAAATTGTAGATCAGATAAATTGTAGAAAAATAACTTTTTTGATGAAAATTCCAGATCTTTGGCATGATGAAAGTTGATGTTTGCCTGCCAGTAGCAGAAGAGTGCTATGAATAAATATAAATGTGAATAGATAGGTCAATTAGTTTTATATTTCAGAAATGGTTACATGTGATGGGGCATGCTATTGACTGATAATGTCATATATTCATTAACATAGATGTTTGAATGTCTGGTTTTCCACAACAGGATCATAATTTTCTTGCCACATACTTTTATGGTGTAAAGTGGATAAAAAGACTTTTTCTTGAAGATTGTTAACAGAAAATGCTCCTGTTTAGCATTGGTCTGTGTGGGTGAAAAGCACATACCTTGGCTGATATTTTTGCACTCAGCGTGATGAATAAAATATTGAAAATGCAATCGACTCTTTCATACATGTAGGATGCCATAAAATATACATTGATTTTACTCATACATTATTGAATGTCAATGCCATTTTTATGAAATTTATGACTTATGGTTTTTGTACAATTTTGACAGCAAAAATACCAAATAGTTGCAATGATGCAGGTATATTGGAGTGAGAGGTGTGCTGACATACTATTCAGCTTCACTTACGTAGGTAGTTTGGATTTTAGAATAGAATTGTAATTAAGTATGTCAGATTGGTGAAAAAAATGCAACAAAATTTTAATTTTTATAACAGATTCTCTCAAACCATCCATTATTTTCAATGAAATTTAGCTTACTGCCTTGGCCTCTGACACTGAAATTTTTGCTGCATTTGGTACCGTATTGCTCTCAAGCAACACTTCGTAGCAGTATACATTGATTTTTTGATATAATTTATTTTTTTGAAAAATTGATGTTTACAATTTTGTACTTCCTTCAATCTGCCAAATTTATGCTGAAATTAAAATCTAAACAGAAAAAGTTAGCATAAGAGAGCTGAATTGTATGTCTGCACAGTTACATTATTAAAAGGATATATTAATTGTTAATGAAACCTTGTTTTGTATGCAATACCCAGCATTATAGCTTTAAGTAAATTATATTATGGTGCAACAAACAGCTCTTTTTTCCTGTCTGTTGTAACCCTTGCCCTAAAAATACCTGTCAGTGATATAAACTTATTTCTTTGAAGATGAAATAGCATGCTACAGGTTCTTTCCCAAGGTGTTTAGGTGTATACACCAAACATTAATGTACTATGTAGTCTGTAGTAGTCCTTATCCCCCTGGCTAATGCATACATGTACAAAGTCAGATGTTATGTTCATGTAGAAGTTTATATACTAACAATGACTTTGCATCCTTATATATGTGATAGCCATTAGTATTGTGGCATGTGAATTTTACCTAAATTTTGTTTACTCGTAGATATATTTAATAGGAATGTTTCAGAACCATCTCAGTACAGTTTACAACCTCCTTCCCTATGGCTGAACACATACACATATTTTATGTCCTTGCCAATATTGATCTGTTTAGTTATGTACATCCTTGCATGATTAGATTTTGTTTCGTTGTTTCTAAATCATGGTGCTGCATATTCCCTTTGATAACTAAAAGTGGCGCACAATTAAAAGTGGCAAAAATAAATGAAGTTCTACTATACTGTGTTTTAGTGTGTCTTGTGGTCCCCTTTTTGACAGATGTGTATTAATTATGATTTTTAAACATTTTTAATACTTGTTTTTTAATCTCCTAATGGTATTTTCTGTTTTTGAATATTTATAGGTGTGTTCATGATAATATATGTATGCTTTATGAAGATACTATTACACATATCTAGAGCATTTCTGTGTAAATCAAGTTATTCAAAAAGTTTGTTTTTGTTGTTATGTGCATTGGTTTCCAGATGTGTTTCAACTTTATTGTGTTTTTATTCCAGTGAATGCATTTCGACCAATGGTTATCATGACTTCCGTGCACAGCTGCGAAAGACAGGCAGAGCCCCAGATGAAGCAAAGGGAACTTTAAGGAGAAACCACGAAGGACACGAAGCTCCGCAACAGGATTTTCGAGGCGTCCTTAAATCAGCTGGAGGAAAACCAGTAGGAAGATCCAATAGTCTTCTTGTCAGGAGGTTAAAGACATAAACTACTTCATTTTTTTTATTAATTTGAGGAAGCAGCATTCAAGACCTCAGGGTTGAAGGGCATTGAGAAATCCTTACAGGTTGTGAAATTTTTCAGAGCTTTATCTGTGAGGCATGATTTCATGTTTCTTTTGTCATATACATGTACTAGGGCAACAACAGTGTATACATACACCTATCTATAGATATAAACCTTTATTGCATAAATAAATTGTATATAGATATTATAATTTCAAGGGTTTTATTTATACCACAGTGAATAATAATTATACTGCTGCTTCCGTATAAACATCACATGAAGGTTTTATTGTGAACTGGTGCTTCAATGTTAATAAAAAAAAACCTTGCATGTGGTCAAAATATTGATTAGAAATTATGTATCCCAGTTAGATTTTATACTTTTATCATACTTCTACAATCCCTAATATAAAGGAAAGCCAGTTTTAGATAAGATAGCTTGGAATGTTATTTTTTATTGAAAAAAAATCTCAGTGCTATGTGTTTTATGTGTATAAATCAGGGGCGGATCCAGAGATATTTTCTGACAGTCTTCCATACTATATTTGTTGATCCATCCTCCATTTTTTGACCGTCTTCTGACAGAAATATATAGATACCCGTCAGTGTAAACTTGAAAATCTGACCGTCTTCCGGAAGACCCAGAAGACGGCCTAAATCCGCCCCTGTAAATATCGATCAGTAATCATTGATATGATTAAACATTGGTGTCCAATACATTTTTGAACTTTTGAATTTTTTATTATCAGAGATCTTGTTAAAAGACAGTGCCAATTCTAGAAAATGGAACCTTGTGACACTTTGTGTTTTTCATTCCCATTTGTTGAATAGTAATTTGCATGATAATTGGATTGCTTTTGTTTAGCTTATGATAGCTACCTAAAATAGCCAGCAATTTCAAAGGGGATCTAAAAAAGTGGACCTTATTTGCCCATCCTCATACTTGTAGCATATTTTGACTCAAATTTTATTTAAAACAGACCTTTATGTTGACAAAAAGGGTGTTTCATTTCAGCCCTAAACCCTCCCTGTCTACTGTATATGTATGTGATACATATATATAATACATGTATCAATTTGAAAAGCTCCTATTATACAAAAGGATTGTATGTTTCTGAAACATTTCTAAATGGGAACATTTTCTACCTGGCTATCATGCATCTTTGTTGTCTTATGTCAGAGTAGTGTGGCACATGTAACAGGCTTGGAACCTCAGGGCTGTGCCCAGAAAGTGCTGTGATTGAAAAATTTTTTTAAAACAAAAACTACGTGATGATTGTTTTATTTACTCTGTAAATATGTCATTGATTAGTGCCCATCATTCATGTATGTTATAACCATAGTTAAAGTAACTTAGTATCACTATATCGCCTATATTTTTCTTATTATTGAAGGCAGTCAGCAGTGAGTTTCCATATTTATCTGCTTCTTATGTGCTAATCATATTTACAAGTATATGCTTTTCAGTGGTGCTTGGGATATTCTACATCTTTTTACAGGTCCTCTGTTTTGACATTGGGCAACTTTTTTTTCAGCATGGTAACTTAATGGTGTCATGATTTTGATGCAGCTTGTTAATAACTTAAACACAATCAATTTGGTCATACAGTGCATCAATATATATTTGATCACTTTGCTGTCAAATCCTGAATGCTATTTTTAGTTAGATTTGCTGCAAAAGGCCTTTGTAAGTTTGGTGTGAAGAGTGAGAAATCTAGTCAAAATAGGAAATGATTTTTTTTTAATTTTGAAAGACATTTTTAACGTGATATTGAGAATCTTCTGATTTTTAGAATTTATATTATTGGTTTATTTATTTTTTCTTTTATTTTTAGCTTACCTAAGAAACTAGGCAAACAAGATGATGGTATTTTTTTAAAGTCAAAGATAACTTTAAAAGTCATCTTTAAAAAAATGTCAAGTTTAAAGACTTAATGCAGTTTCCAGCCGTAGAGGTCTATATGTACAGTATATGTTTTGATGAAAAGTAGTGAAATAATCTTGCTTTGCTTCTTTGGGTGAATAATTGATTTAAGAAGTCTTATGTTCAGTTACTTTTTATCGCTTGTTTTGTTTTTGAATTGTGTTATCTGCATATAAAATGTTTTTAAGAAATAAAACATTTCTTCAATTAAACATCTTTGAAAACCATTCTTTTGAAAGACTAAATTTGATTTTTTTTAAATTTGGAAGGTAAAGATTGTTAAAGGTGAAAATATAAAAATCAAAACCATATTATGGATGCATATGGGACTGTGATTTTTTAAAAAAACTTTATAATTGTTATAACTGTTAAGCAATTCGACATCAAATTATTTCCACTAAAACCAACCACCAAATACCACCATATACTTTTAAGCAGTATATCATAGTTTTTTTGTTTTTTTTTTAACCAAGTTATTAATTTAGATCTAGGTTATTCTTTATGTAAATTTTATTTGAGTAGTGTAAAAAAAAACTGGTAGTAGTAAATTTTATGCTTTTCAGGATTTATACACGTGCAGCCATATCCTCGCTTGTTATTGATTTTTTTATAAATTAAAAAAAAAGAAATTAAGCATTTAAATGTTTTTATGAATTATTTTTTCCTTGCTTATATATATATATATATATATATATATATATATATTAGTGACACTGTTTCTAAAAAACTAGGATAAATTCCCATTGTCATGCATGCTTTCAGATTAAAATTCGCCAATTAAGAAAAAAAATTACAGACAAAAACTTTCAGGAATGTGTCATATTTTGCTTGTTGAGCTGCTGATTGCTTCCTGATCCATCTGCCGCAATCTTTGTTCGCCCCGTTTCAGACCAATCGACATCTGTGCTCAATGTTCTCGCTGGAAAATGTTTATTCAAACAAATTTTGCCTATGGATTTGCTGAAACTAGCAACCATTCAAGAAAAAAATAGTCCATCGTTTACTAAAATATGTGGCTGAATTATGACAATTTTTTGCTTTCTTTTGCCTCCCCCTTCGCCTATGGATTTACATGTGCTTCTGAAAGCACATCACTGATAGACATCATCGCCCTAAGCTGGAGGGTAACGAAACTGAGATAGCTGGTGCTCTTGGTATACTAACCAAATAGTTGCAGATTTGTGGTTTTTGTTTAAAGTCATTATGAAGAATGGCAAAAACCACAAATTGTTCCAAGACTTCCAAATACTTTTTACAAAAAGGAAATAATAATGCTGCAAACGCCACATGTACATGTAGCATTCAGATGATGGCAAGCCTTCTACATCAAACACGACTTAAATTTTACTTGGCCTTATAAAAAATAATAATATTTCACCAGCCGAATAAGATCAAACTATATTGGATCAATTTACTTGACCTAGATTAACAAGATAGTCATTCCCCTAAGATGACACCCCTCTTTCTCTCGTCTACTATCCTTGGGGGTTTCCAGAAGAATGGTATTTATAAACATTGTGACGTCACAGCCACGACTCGTTCATTGAGGATTGGCTCACTCGCTTACTGCGCCATATTCGATGCGAAATCTCAGCTGCAATCTGAATGAAGTCTTGACTTTTGGCCGCATGGTGGAAGTCAGTTAAAGAACGTTTGGGGCAGAGGATTCTCATGCCGCCATGAGGCTGGAAGTAATCGTGATCATAACAGTAGCTATAGCTATCTTATCCAAGGAGACAGGTAAGTCGAGTCGAGCGATCGGACAGACTAGAGCACATGTAATCAACGTGTTGCGCTTTGCGTGTATATTATCTACCATCTAAGATCTCTATCTAAGGTTTGGGTCATTCATTCATTTTACCACTTTAGTAGGTGTAGAGTGGAATCGGAAAGTTGTTAAAGGCTGTCGGAAATTGTAATGAGGGTCGATCATGCTGGAGCTGCTACAAATTAGGTTATAAAACCCCTGTTATACAACATGGCGGCGCCCATGGGACCTCGCATTTTACACTTGTTGATTACATTCACTGGGAGCAGCAGAACGGTTGTTTTCTACCTGACTGATGCGAGCTTCTGTTAAGGAGATATAAGCGATAAGACCCGGCAGTTCCCTTTATAACGTTTTGTCCGCGAGATATTATCACGTTTTGGAGATCAGTAACTTGTTGGTAGTCGAAAAGCTGTAGTTTAAACAAAGATTTTAGCACGAGTGCAGATTTTCAGTGGCATTACGTGTGGTGGGGATAATCTCCGACTGAGAATAAAAGAGACACTCCTTATTATCAATTCCTGTTTCCTTCAAGTGCAGTTCATACTAGTTATTCAATGACAAGTTGCATGGTTTGGTACATCCTGCCAAATAACCACAACGTCCACTAAATTATCTTACTTATGTTGTCTGCGGTGACAAGCCATCACATCATTTAATAGAACTATGTCTGGATATGCTTGTGCTACTTACTTTTCGGATCTCTATTAAGCAGAAGTCAAATGCTTTGTTGTAAATACCTGAAATCTTTTTTTTTTTTATAATTTTTTTTTACTTTGAAATGGTTGATTATCCCCCTTACCTGTCCTGTTTATTAGAAGATAATGTTATGTCACACATAAGTCCCATTCACACTAGCAAGTAGAATATCATCCAGTTAACTCCAATAGGGCCACAGTTGATTAATCCCACTTTTTACATTGATACTAGCTAGGGCAAGGAGAAAAAACATTTCAATAGGAAAACACATTTTGTGTAATACACCTTCAACACCCGTGCATAACAAGAATTACCAATAGGCTTAAAAAGATGCATAGTAGGCAATTAGATATATGTGAAATTGGTGTCACCATACCCATCCAAATGCCACCATATAGTCTCAAGTAGTATAAATAAAGGAAAGACCAGTGTTTCGTTTCATTATTTCCTGAAAAAAAATTAAGTTAAAGGTTATAAGCTATTGAGCTGTCCAGATATGTTATATTGGACAGCCTGTCCAAGAAAGGATGGCCTATCTTATAGTAGACAATTTATTAAAATTCTCTTTGGATTTTTATGAGTTGCATAAGAAACTAGTAATAGTACTTTTTTATGTGTTACAAAGATGTACACAGTTGTACTTTCTCTTCATTAACTTGTTCCCACTCATTTTACTGATTTCCTGTATGCACAAAATAAAAAGTAATATCCGTGAAGCTGACTTCCTTTGTCAGCGTTGCTCTTTTGCTATAAGCAGAGGGTTCGTAGTCTTTTATCCCTATTACCCCTATTACCACTAGATTTGGTTGTGGTAGTCGATTTTGCTGAGCTAGCATCCTTTCCTGAAGCCCGCTCTGCGCCACTCCGGCTTGCCTCAGCCTGAGCAATAATAGCGCTAACTAAGTCGCTTTGCAGTCCGGTCTGAACCGACGACATGCTAAAAATCCAGTGTCAATCAGTACAAAAGATTGTCTGTCAAGCAATCTCTCACAATAGAGTATGATCAGTCGTTAAAAACCACGTAAATTATAAAAAATAAATGAATAATCGAGTGCACGTGTGAGCACGAAGACAAGTGAACGCAGAATTGAGCCCCACGCATGCATATCTCGTAGAATCCCGAATGATCAGATGGGAGTTAAATAATAAGATGAATTGTCTAATTTGTGAACATGTACTTCAAATGTAGATAACCATTTTTAACTGCAGGGTTTAAGACCCCATTTCCAGAGATTAGATCGATCTACTTTAGATCGACCTAACTCCCTGGGGGTTCATGCTAAATAGCTGTCAGCCGGGCGGACACGAAAGTTAATTACTCCCTTACAGCTTGTAGTAGGCGGGACGGACATTAAAGCTGGATTATCTGACAGTAATCTAGTGAGACTCCCCGCGGGATAGATCGATCTAAAAGCTCTGGGAATACAGCCTAAGAAATAACCCCAATAGATCCCAAGTCCCGTGGTGGGTGCATTGGACCACAGTCAGGGGCATATTATAGTGTGTACGTTAGAAAAATGAAGTTCAGGATAACTGTTATTATAGGCTTAATCATGTTCAGCATTGCTAGTGTAAACTAAGGTTATATTAATTACATCTAACTAGTCCTATTAAAATGTCTTCTGTGAGCTGTATCCAAGATTTTATGCCTGATAATGATGGATTCATAGAAGGTATTGCGATTTTCTAGGAATTTGAATTGATGGGAATTTTATGATAAGTTAGGTAAACTGACAGTACTTGTACATATAACCATGGTGTGATAGATCATGTAAAACATACTTTTTTTCAATAGTTTCACTGACAGTTTCAGTTCAGAACATTCTGGAAAAATCTTATCCCACAATTTTCAATATATTAAATATTATGAGTCTGTTCCATGTTAGGCATACAGCCACATTTTTTACCCGTGCATTAGGCTAAGAATAAGTTTGTATGATCTGAATGGAATGTTTTCAATTGTGGATGTTTGGCATAATTTCAATGTATGTTTTCTGTTACTGACATTATTTTGTGTGAGATATTTACATATCATGGCATACAACCTTCTTTTATTTATTTATTTATTTATTTATTTATTTATTTATTTATTTATTTATTTATTTATTTATTTATTTATTTTTTCCAGTTTTTGGAGACTTATGACACATTGTGATTATATAGAGCTGGTGCTCTTTGGTTTTAACAAAAATAATTAGGGCTGACGTCATGAAGCAGGTGCTAGGTAGCAATTTCTACCATCTCATGTCATCCTGTCATCCACTGCATGTTCTGGCTGTAGGGGGATGCTAGCCTCCCCCCTCCCCCCCNTACCACTAGATTTGGTTGTAGTAGTCGATTTTGCTGAGCTAGCATCCTTTCCTGAAGCCCGCTCTGCGCCACTCCGGCTTGCCTCAGCCTGAGCAATAATAGCGCTAACTAAGTCGCTTTGCAGTCCGGTCTGAACCGACGACATGCTAAAAATCCAGTGTCAATCAGTACAAAAGATTGTCTGTCAAGCAATCTCTCACAATAGAGTATGATCAGTCGTTAAAAACCACGTAAATTATAAAAAATCAATGAATAATCGAGTGCACGTGTGAGCACGAAGACAAGCGAATGCAGAATTGAGCCCCACGCGTGCATATCTCGTAGAATCCCGAATGATCAGATGGGAGTTAAATAATAAGATGAATTGTCTAATTTGTGAACATGTACTTCAAATGTAGATAACCATTTTTAACTGCAGGGTTTAAGACCCCATTTCCAGAGATTAGATCGATCTACTTTAGATCGACCTAACTCCCTGGGGGTTCATGCTAAATAGCTGTCAGCCGGGCGGACACGAAAGTTAATTACCCCCTTACAGCTTGTAGTAGGCGGGACGGACATTAAAGCCGGATTATCTGACAGTAATCTAGTGAGACTCCCCGCGGGATAGATCGATCTAAAAGCTCTGGGAATACAGCCTAAGAAATAACCCCAATAGATCCCAAGTCCCGTGGTGGGTGCATTGGACCACAGTCAGGGGCATATTATAGTGTGTACGTTAGAAAAATGAAGTTCAGGATAACTGTTATTATAGGCTTAATCATGTTCAGCATTGCTAGTGTAAACTAAGGTTATATTAATTACATCTAACTAGTCCTATTAAAATGTCTTCTGTGAGCTGTATCCAAGATTTTATGCCTGATAATGATGGATTCATAGAAGGTATTGCGATTTTCTAGGAATTTGAATTGATGGGAATTTTATGATAAGTTAGGTAAACTGACAGTACTTGTACATATAACCATGGTGTGATAGATCATGTAAAACATACTTTTTTTCAATAGTTTCACTGACAGTTTCAGTTCAGAACATTCTGGAAAAATCTTATCCCACAATTTTCAATATATTAAATATTATGAGTCTGTTCCATGTTAGGCATACAGCCACATTTTTTACCCGTGCATTAGGCTAAGAATAAGTTTGTATGATCTGAATGGAATGTTTTCAATTGTGGATGTTTGGCATAATTTCAATGTATGTTTTCTGTTACTGACATTATTTTGTGTGAGATATTTACATATCATGGCATACAACCTTCTTTTATTTATTTATTTATTTATTTATTTATTTATTTATTTATTTATTTATTTATTTATTTATTTATTTATTTTTTCCAGTTTTTGGAGACTTATGACACATTGTGATTATATAGAGCTGGTGCTCTTTGGTTTTAACAAAAATAATTAGGGCTGACGTCATGAAGCAGGTGCTAGGTAGCAATTTCTACCATCTCATGTCATCCTGTCATCCACTGCATGTTCTGGCTGTAGGGGGATGCTAGCCTCCCCCCTCCCCCCCATCTTGATAATTTGAGTAGCAATATGTGCTCTTTTAAGGTGTGGTTTGAGTAAATTATGTTCTTTCGAAATGGGTTTAAGGAAATTGTTCATGACATAGTGTCTGACATTGGTTTATTTACACTTGGCTGTCTCTTTTAGTCGACTGAGAAGAATTTCCTTTTATCATTACACCATATCCTGTCTTGAATTCTTTACTTGTAAAAATAACAATTACAAAGAGGGGCCCTTATATTACAGAAACTACTATGAAATGTCACAATATTAAAAAAAGTTTGAAATGTTTGCCTACTCTCTGAATATCCATGCCTAAAGCTGATTTCATCATGCACTGATTTTGTTTTCTGGTTGTATACAAATATGGTTTAGTGGTTCAAGCAGATAGAATGGCTCAGAGCAGTAACCAGTGGAGGTGGAGTGTGTGTAAGTGTGTGCGTGTGTGCGTG